AGCATCGTTGGTCTTCTGGCATGGGATGAAATGGGCCATTTTTGAGAAACGATCCACAACTACCATGATAGAATCTTTTTGCCTCTGAGTCTGTGGTAAACCCAGAACAAAATCCATAGTTATATCATCCCACGGTGCTTCTGGAATTGGCAGAGGCATGTATAGTCCAGTATTCTGACCCTTGGATTTAGCCAAGTGACAAATTCTGCATCTTTGTATATGCCTGTTGACATCCCGTTCAAGTCAAGGCCAGTAAAAGTTCTCCTTCACCAGATCAACTATTTTATCCCGTCCAAAATGTCCAGCTAATCCACCGTCATATGCTTCCCAAATTATGGCTTCTCTCAAGGAACCCTGTGGAATACAGAGGGTTTTACTTGAAATAAAAAACCATCATGCTTGTAGAATTGGTGGAAAGGTTGATTTACGGTTGCTTCCCACACTCCTCAAAAATCAGGATCATCCTGATACAACTCTTTGATAAGGTCAAATCCAACAACCTTGGTTTGCAGTGTTGTAAGTAGCACATGGCGATGACTAAGGGCATCAGCTACGGAGTTCAGAGTTCCAGCCTTATGTTTGATAAAGAATGGATAAAACTGTAAGAGTTCACTCCAACGAGCATGTCTGCGGCTGATCTTCTGCTGGGAATTCAAATACTTGAGAGCCTCATGATCCGAAAAAAGTATGAACTCTTTATTTAGGAGATAATGACTCCAATATTGAAGAGCTCGGACAATGGCATAGAATTCCTTGTCATAGGTAGAATATTTGAGCTTGGCATCATTGAGCTTCTCATTAAAAAAGGCAATGGGATGGCCCTCCTAGCTTAAGACAGCACCAATGCCGGTGTTAGAAGCATCACAGCTAACTTCAAATACTTAGTCAAAATTAGGAAGAGCTAGGACTGGAGCTTCGGTCAACTTCTTCTTAAGCTCCTCAAAGCTTTTCTGAGCTTGCTCTGTCCACTGAAACTTCTCTCCTTTAGTGCAATCTATAAGTGGTGCAACAATTGAGCTAAAATTACGGATGAACCTCCTGTAGAAAGAAGCTAATCCGTGGAAGCTTCGAACCTCCTGGATAGATTTTGGAATTGGCTAGCTGTCAATGGCTGCAACTTTGCTTGGATCCACGCGAACACCCTCTGCGGTAATGATGTAACCCAAGAACACAACTTCGCTGGTAAGGAAGGTGCACTTCTTGAGATTTGCATAAAGCTTCTGTTCACCCAAGGCTTGCAAAACTTGCCGCAAGTGATCTAAATGCTCCTCTTGATTCTTACTGTAAATAAGAATATCGTCAAAGTACACAACAACAAATTTACCAATGAAGGGTCTCAATACCTGATTCATCAGGCGCATAAATGTGCTAAGGGCATTTGTTAACCCAAAAGGCATCACATTCCACTCATATAAGTCATCTTTGGTCTTGAAAGCGGTCTTCCACTCATCTCCTGGCCGAATTCTGATTTGATGGTACCCACTACGAAGGTCAATTTTGGAGAAAGTAGTGGCACCATGCAACTGGTCCAGCATATCATCAAGCTGAGGTATCGAAAACTGATACTTAATAGTGATCTTGTTGACGGCTCGACAGTCAATGCACATTCTCCAACTTCCATCCTTTTTAGGTACTAGAAGAACAAGTACAGCACAAGGGCTGATACTTTCTCGAACTAACCCTTTCTTCTTCAACTTGCCGTTGGACTTCAGCATGTTCTTGGGGACTCATTCTGTAAGCAGACTTGTTAGGAATGACTGCTCCTGGAATGAAGTCAATGGCGTGCTATATGTCTTGCATGGGAGGCAACCCTGGTGGTATCTCATCAGATATTACATCTGGAAATTCTGACAATAGTGAAATGACTCCAGGTGGATTGGTCGTCTCGTCGTTCACCTCAAGCACCAGAATAAAGCTCATCATTTGGGCTTCGGATTTCGAAACCTTGAATTTCTCCTTAGTCAACAAAGACACTAACGGCTTAGAGACACTAGATTCCCTTGAAGATTGGCTAATCTCACTAGGTGGCAAAGGCGCTAGTGTGAACTTGACACCATCTTTTGTAAAAGAATAGGTGTTCGCTCGCCCGTTGTGCATAGCATGTCGGTCATATTGCCATGACCTCCCCAAGAGAAGATGGCATGCATCCATGGGAACAACATCACATAAAACTTCATCATAATATCGATTCCCAATAGAAAAGGTCACAAGGCATTGTTGAGAAACTTTTACCTCATTCCCTTTGTTGAGCCAGTGAAGCTTGTAAGGTTGCGGATGATCTTGTGTTGGCAACTTTAATTTCTCTACCATGTAGTCAGATACTACATTTTCACAGCTTCCACTGTCAATGATGACATTACAAACTTTTCCTTGGGCCGTACAACGAGTGTGAAAAATGTTGCGTCGTAGCTAAGGTTCTTCTTTGACTACTGTTGTATGTAGACTTCGTCTAAGCACCAATGCTTCTCCTTAATCAGCAGGTGTGACCTCCTCGTCATATACGGGATCAATGCTATAGAACTCAGCATCCTCCTCATCTTCTTCAAGTGCTTCATACCTTGATCCTTCTCGAATGGTGACAACCCTTCGTGTAGGACAGTCCGCAGCAATGTGGCCAAATCCTTGGCATTTAAAGCATTTGATTGCTTTAGAACCAGATTCCTTAGCAGTATTGGATGGTGGTTTGCGCATAGCAGTAGGTTATGGCTTGCTTGAGGAGTTGGTCTGTTGAAATTCTGCTTTACGGCCTTCTGGATAACTCCTAGAGGATGATGGTTGGAAAGTGGATCTCTTGGGCATCTGTTTCTCAACACGCACGGCCAACGAATGACATCATCCAAGGTCCAATATTGCTGAAGCTGGACTGGACGACTGATATCTGTGTTTAAGCCTGTAAGGTACCGGGCTATTGTTTACTCCTCCTTCTCTTGAATGTCACACTTCATCATGAGTTGTTCAAACTCCCTAGTATATTCTTCTACAGATAAAGATCTCTATCGAAGATTTTACAGCTGGATAAAATTATCTTGGTGGTAATGATCTGGTAGAAATTTCCTAGTGAGCTGGCGTTTCATTTTCTCCCAGGTCTCAATCTTGTGCTTTCCCTCACGTTCCCGCTTCCTCTGAGGTTTTCCCACCAAATAGAAGCATGTTTCTTGAGTTTGAGGGCAACAATCTTGACTTTCTGCACATTTGGAATCTCCTTGTATTTAAATACTCGTTCAACAGTTTGCAGCCAATCTACAAACTTGTCTAGCTGGAGCCTTCCCTCGAATTCAGGAATGTCAACCTTGATGTCATTAGGGCGGAATTGTTGTTGTTGTGGGCGGCGGCGGTTGTTAGTAGATGACGAACTACTGCTTTCCGAATCTCTCTCTAAGTTTTCTCTGTTGTTGTTTAACAGAGTTTGTTGCAATTCCACAGTGGCTTCCAATTCTCGTATCCTACGTCTCAACTCTTCCATCTCAACCTCGTGCACATGTCTACGTCTTGGAGGCATTTTGGATAAGTGTCAAGGCTAGGATATGGGAAAGATTGGGGTGCAAATGGAAACGTTAAAGGATATAGGGGTAAAGTGAGATTTTTCAAAAGGCTAGGGGCAAAATGGGGATTTTGGACTGCCTAGGGGTAAAATAGAGATTCTAGAAGAATGATGGGGTCAAATTAAAATTTATGGAAAAATATAGCTGTTAAAATAGAATTCAGGTAAAATAAAGGGGCAAAAGTGTAATTTTAGGAAATTTAGGGTTTAAAATGGAATTTTGAAAACTTTGGGGGTCAATATGAAATTTCATGAAAATTAGGGGCAAATTTGGAATTACTGAAAGATTTGGGGTAAAAATATAATTTATGAAAATAAGGCTGATTGGGTATAGTGACGTGGCGACTATGACACGTGGCGAAAAACTACTGGGCTGACCTGTCGTTGACCGGTCAGACAGCTGACATGGCAGCTTACGTCAACGTCTTCAACCTTCGGATGGCACGTGAAGGCGCGTGGACCGGCGATGAGGTGCGTGATCTTCTGACGGTGGCGCGTGACGGCACGTGCGGTGTTTTCCGATGACGGGGAACCTCTTGTTCCACGTTTTCGGACCTCCTGAGCATGATGATAATGTTAGTTTTCTGAGAAAATGCCCGGTTTGTAAAACGCGAAGACGTCAGGGACTCCTCCTCTTAATCTCTCTTCTTTCCGGCGTACTTTCTCAACTGTAACTCACTCTCTCGCTCTCTGGACCAGCTCTGATACCAAAATGGCACAGAAACCAGATGAAAACAAACAATTCTTATTCTTTCAAGTCTGCCTCTTTCACAGCCACAAGGGTCCTATTTATAGTCTATAATTCGTGAAACTGAACCATACAAATTTAAAGGGAGGTTACAGAAATTAAGGAGAGTTACAAAGAGTTTATGATGCTTCATTATGTGTGTCTCCCGTTTCTGCTTTATTATGTGTGTGCCTTCCATTTTAGCTCGTTTTTGCTCTTTCGTTTCATCTATGGAACAAATTTTAAAATAAAATAAATTGTTATTTAAATTATAATTTATATAAAATAACAAAGAATGAGTATACTAAAATAAATTATTTTTTAGATTTTTATTTTATCTTTACCTTTCATATGTTAAAAAAAGTATTTACAAGTTACAAGTATAACATGTATCCAGCATAATTCTATGACACCTATGTACAAGGAATAAAAAATAAATTTTACTCCCTCCAATTCTCATTATATGATATCTTTTGGAAGAATTCTTTAATCTTTTAGGCAAAAAAATAGGGATTCTTTACCCCTTAATGTAAGATATGTGAATAATTATTTTATGTTTTTCCCTTCTATTTATAATAGGAATAAAATTAAAAAAATATTTTTTAAGATATATATATATATATATATATAATGAATTAAATGAATTAATTGTAATAAAATAATTGAAAGTGTCTTGTGACATAAATGTGTGATTCCTTGGTTTCAACATTCTTGTGCGTGCTGCATGGTGGTTGCTTGGTGGTCGTCCTCGTCAACAGTCAAGTTCGAAACAGAAATGTCAACAATCAAACACCTGAACTACAAATGCAAATGATTTACCGAGACGTTTGCTCGCTGAGCGCGCCAGGTAGTCGGAACTTCTTCCTCAGTCTCGTGAACAAAGCTTCCACTCTCTCTCAGCTCGCTCAAACCCACGCCCAAATCATCATCAATGGCCTGCAGTACGACCTCGCAACCGTCACCAAACTCACCCAAAAGCTCTTCGACTTTCGCGCCATTCGCCAAGCTCGTCATCTCTTCTTCACCATGCCAAATCCTGATATTTTCCTCTTCAATGTCCTCATTAGAGGGTTCTCCACCAATGCATCGCCTTCGTCCTCCATTTCTTTGTACGCCGATATGAGGAGAAACACTCACCTTAGGCCTGACAACTTCACCTATTCGTTTGCTATAATGGCCGCTTCTGGGTTTCCCGATGAGAAGTATGGAATGTTGTTACATGCTCAGTCGATTGTTGATGGGTCGGGCTCCGAATTGTTTGTTGGGTCCTCCGTTGTTGATTTGTATTTTAAGTTTTCACGTGTTGAGTTAGCAAGGAAGGTGTTCGATAGAATGCCCGAACGAGATACTGTTTTGTGGAACACTGTGATTACTGGGTTAGTGAGGAATTGTTGTTATGGTGATTCGATTGAGCTTTTTGGGGATATGGTTGCAGAAGGGGTGCAATTGGATTCAACGACATTGGCAACTGTGCTTCCTGCCGCAGCAGAGATGCAGGAGTTGGAGTAGGGATGGGGATTCAGTGTTTAGCTTTGAAACTGGGTTTTCACTTTGATGCTTATGTAATGACGGGTTTGATTTCATTATATTCCAAATGTGGGCAGATCAATACGGCGAGGTCATTGTTCAGGCGTATAAGTCAGCCGGATTTGATAGCTTACAATGCAATGATTTCTGGGTTTACTGGCAACCACGAGGCCGAATCTGCAGTGAAGCTTTTCAAAGAAATACTTACTTCTAGTGAAAGAGTTGGGTCAAGCACTATTGTGGGACTAATTCCAGTGTCTTCTCCTTATGGTCATCTACATCTTACTTGTAGTATCCAGGGATTTTGTGTAAAATCTGCTATTATCTCATCTCCGTCTGTTTCAACCGCCCTTACAACTGTGTACAATAGACTCAACGAAGTAGAGTTGGCACGCCGACTATTTGATGAATCACCAGAGAAAACTCTTGCTGCTTGGAATGCTATGATATCGGGCTATACGCATAGTGGTTTAACGGACAAGGCAATTTCTCTTTTTCAGGAAATGATGACCGAATTCACTCCAAATCCTGTTACAATCACAACTATTCTTTCAGCTTGTGCCCAACTAGGATCATTAAGTTTCGGAAAATGGGTCCATGACTTGGTTAAAAGCAAAAGTCTTGAGCCAAACATTTATGTATCAACTGCTCTAATTGACATGTACGCGAAGTGTGGGAACATTTTGGAGGCTCGGCAATTATTTGACTCTATGAGTGAAAAGAATATTGTCACTTGGAATGCCATGATTTCTGGTTATGGACTCCATGGATACGGGCTTGAGGCCATTAAGCTTTTCCACGAGATGTTGCATTTAGGCTTCCATCCAACTGGTGTCACTTTTCTTTCAGTCTTGTATGCTTGCAGTCATGCTGGTTTGGTAAGAGAAGGAGATGAAATTTTTCATACGATGGTCAATAATTATCGGATTGAGCCTATAACTGAGCACTATGCATGCATGGTGGACATTCTTGGACGAGCAGGAAAATTAGAAGAGGCTTTAGAGTTTATAAGGAGAATGCCAGTTGAGCCAGGTCCTGCTGTGTGGGGCACATTGCTTGGTGCTTGTATGATTCACAAAAACATGAACATAGCTGACATGGCTTCAAAGAAGCTATTTGCAATGGACTCAAAAAGTGTAGGGTACTATGTTTTACTCTCTAATATGTACTCTGTTGAGAGGAAATTTTCAAAGGCTGCTTCAGTACGAGAGGTTGTCAAGGAAAGAAAACTGGCAAAGACTCCAGGGTGTACCCTAATTGAGGTTAATGGGACCCCACATGTCTTCGTATCTGGTGATAGGTCCCATTCTCACGCAACAGCTATCTATGCAATGCTTGAGAAGTTAACTGGAAAGATGAGAGAGCATGGATATTATTCAGAGATTGTCACTTCTTTGCATGATGTGGAAGAGGAAGAAAAGGAACTCATGGTGAATGTTCACAGTGAGAAGTTAGCCATTGCTTTTGGTCTTATTGCCACTGAGCCAAATACTGAAATCAGGATCATTAAGAATCTTCGGGTTTGTTTAGATTGTCATACTGCAACCAAATTTATATCAAAGATCACAGAGAGAGTTATTATAGTAAGGGATGCTAACAGATTCCATCATTTTAAAGACGGAGTTTGTTCTTGTGGGGACTACTGGTGAAGCAGAATAATTGTTCACCTCTTAAGCTCTGCAGGACGAGAGTGGCATCTGGATTCATATTCTTGTATTTCTACAATATGGCCTTGATTTACACAATTAAAAGAGAAAGAACTATCTTGATGCTCGTCCTGACTCCTGAGTTCTGAGTTATTGATATAGTAAGTTAACCAACAAATTCTAGCATACTTTATATAAGTTCAACATTTGCTTACTGTCTTTCGCCTAAAGATATGCAATCGATTTTAATAAATCCAAGTACACACTTGATTGCACTTCACTTTTCTTTCTACTTCGAGATGTTCTGCCCTTGAAAATGTGCAAGAGGTACAATCTATGCTGTTTATTTATCAAACCTTTTTTGTAGCAAAGTTTTTAGCTAACCTTTTTATCATTTATTTTTTGCACAGAAAATGAAAAAGTTACCATGTTACGCCTTCTATCCGGTTATCAGGTGTACATCATACTTTACTTTTCATTTTTCATCTTCTGACAGAAATACTTGGCGTATAGCCTAGTATTTTCTCTAGGGTCCACTCAATTGATTAAGCATTGAAGTAATATTGAACTTATATGCTATCAAACGTATCAAAAGTACAACTTCCTCCCCTATACTTACGAAACTCAATAAACTGCTCTTTGCTTTCTCCCTTCAGTTAAAGAAAAAAGGAAGAAAAAAAGGAAAAGGGAAATAAAATGAAGTACTTGTTGCAATGCTTCACAAAATTGTGCCCTAACTTTATTCATTTGGAGCATCTAGGCTTTGCTGAGTCCTGTTTAAGAATTGTGAAAGTAAATAGGACATGCATTTTCAGGGGATGTAACAAATAAATGAAGGCCAACTAATTCAGCAACTGATTCCACACTGCTTAACGTCTGGTCCTTTTGTTTTCAACACAAAAGGATCAATTCTTACCCAAAGCAAGGAGAAGATAGAAGCCAAAAGCACTGACCATATGATGACAAGGGTTGGTGTTCGGTTCTGTTTTCCCATCAGACCTTTAAGGAATGGGTAAAGGTGGACGAGAACCCAGAAGGAGAAGAAGAGTTTCCCAAGTAATGCTCCCCAAGAATGTCCACCACTGTTTATGGCATCTGTAAATCCAGCTACAATACCAACAAGGTTGATGATTATGATAGTGGTTGGAGGTATTAGCAGCGCTGTCCATCTAAAGGTGTACAAATCATGGAATTCTCCATCATCTGGTACTTTTGATACCACACCAAAGTTAATATCAACTTTAGACACACCCTTCAGAAAGTTTCTCACTATTGCAAAGAGATGTGTTGAGACGCTGCCTATTACCCAGAATTGTTCACTTCTCCACCATTCCTCAAGACTAACTCCACTCCATCTCAACTCAAGTATGCTTGATGCAAAGATTGAGATGAACAGTGCAATAAAGAGAAGACTTGCAAAGGTGCTTATCTGGACAATGAATAAACTGTGAATTGTTTAATTGGTAGACTAATAAATGATAGAGCACAATGGTGTCATATAATTCATGTAGCCGACCCCACCTAGTAGGATAAGGCTTGTTGTTGTTATTGTTGTTGTTTAATTGGTAGACTATGTGAAAAGACTTGTTTAGTAAAGTAGCAAAACTGAAGAAACTTTACAAAAAAACTAGGTTTTGTTTCTAGTTCATAATGTATAGCCTACAGGGAATGCATTTTAAATGAGTTCTCACCATTATAGAGAGCTTTACATCATGTAATCCTCTATGTTCATTAAAATGTAATGGAAATTCTTAAAGTTTTTTTTTAATTCTAAAAGGTCTGTGATTATCCAATGGTCTGTCTTTTTTTTTCTATTTCTGTGGGAAAGGGAGAATTATTATTACCGATGGTGTGATGAACTTGTCTGTGAGCAGGCAGACAGCAGGAAGGAGACAATATATTAGAAGGGGTATTGAACTGAAAGGATAGACTGTGCTGTTGATATAAGCAACTCTTTGAAGCCCCTTAAGTTTTCCTCCTCCTAAGGTATACAGTATGGGGCAGTGGCGGCTGAAAAGGATCTCAAGTGATCCAACTGCCCATCTAAGCACCTGACTCAGTCGATCTGAAAGGTTGATAGGAGCAGTACCCCTGAATGCAGGTCTTTTTGGCATGCAATACACTGATCTCCAACCAAGAGAGTGCATTTTAAAACTTGTCAGAATATCTGATGATATAGATCCATAGTTCCAACCCACCTGTAGATAAGAAAAATGGTTAAAGAAATGCTTCAGCGGTAAATCAGCCTTTCGATCTGGAAAAGATTGGGATAAACCAAAAGCAGATGTGGGTAATACCTCGTATCCCCATAAGGTTTTGTCTTCATAGCTGCTACTCATGACATGAATGGCTTCTTTAAGCAAGGCTGCCTGATTAGAGGTAGAAGGAACACCACCCTCTTCTGTTATGGAAGAGCTCACAAAAACTGCTGATTTCCCAAATTTATTTTCAAAATTCATCTCTGATGTTAAAAGCTGGTTGTCTTCATCTGTTCCTGTCAGATGTGGAAAAAGTGGTGTTGAGCTAAAAGAGGGAAAAAGAAAAGTGGTTGCTGTGTATGAGGAATTTTGGTCACCTGTCACGGCTGGGGCATCTTCTTCATTTCCATCATGCTTAGAGTGCACTTGTAGCTTCTTGCGTGATCCAAAACAAGGACAGCAGCCACAGCCTACCATTTTTGGGCGCTTTGAAGTCTTCGGAGGATCACTGCCATTTAAAGCTTTCCTCCTGAAGATGCATCCTGAACCAATATAAATAGGTCCTTGAATTCCATCCAGGCACCTCAAATTAATCTGCAGAAAAACAAACAAAAGTATTGGATATAAATTTCCACACACACTGACAATGAAATGATGAATGAACACAAGGGATATAGTACTGAAATTGTTTCAATTACATCAAATAAAACAGTATTTCTGTTGGCATAACGATCGTGCTTATCAAGGCTGTCAAATCTTAGCGGGAACTGGACAAAGCAAATGGTCTTTCCAACTTGTAGGTCCATGAAGAAACACATGGCCTCTCTCACAGCCTTGCTGTTATTCACGTAGTGATTGCAATCCAAGTTCAGCACAAAAGGAGCATTGCTTAACAAAGCAGATACCCGAAGCTGAAAATTGAGGAGGAATTAAAGGTCACAATAAGCTTACTTTAGCCCATGAGGATGAGAAACTATTATGTCAAAGATGACAAATGTGCTTCATCAACTTACCAATGCATTCAATGCACCAGCTTTGCTGTAGTGTTGAAACCCTGGCCTTTTCTCACGAGACAGGTAGACAAGACATGGAAGTTCATTTCCTTGAAGACCTCCACTGCGAGCAAGAAGAATTTGTATCATTCCCGGGTGATCATTGGTATTGTTTCCTGGCCATGGGGTCCCATCTTGCATAGTCCACCCTTCTTGAGGAACTCTCATGGATTTAGCTACAAGTGCATTTATCCTGACCTTGAATTCTTCATATTCTCTCTGCCATGGGCAAAGGAGCAGTGAAACCTTGTTCTATATAGCTTTTATAGTATTCTAAGGCATTAAGAGCACTAATACAAACCTTCATTGTACGGCGGTCTCTGACATAAGTAGAGTGGACCTTATCCTTTAGAAAATCAATCTTCTCAGAGAAGTACTTCTCTGGTGCTCGAGGCTCTGTAGAATATTTTTTGCAAAAGGGTACCCACTTCCGTGCAAACTCTGCAGTTTCTTGGAGAGCTTCAAAGGTGAGCATAGAAGCTCCATCATCAGAAACATAGCATGAGATTTTACTGGGAGGGTAATCCATGGCCAAGATTGAAAGAACAGTATTAGCCGTAACTAATGGCGGTTCCTTAATTGGGTCCACAGTAGTGACAAAGACATCTATTGGAGGAAACAAATTCGGCTTATTCTCTGGTTCAAACCTGCATTACAAGTTACAGAAACCGTGCTTCTTATTACAGATATATGCTCTAGGAGGATCAACAATGTCAATAGTCTTTCATTCTCTAATTTAAGCTTTATTAGTTGATAGTTGATGTGAACTGAGAAGTATGCTATGAATGAATATCTAAATATGTTGCTAGTGACTGGCAATTATGACATTAGCTGTTGCTGTTTAATAATTAGATCAGTATGTGTCAACTCCAATTTTGATGAGCTAAATAAATGTGATCTTTATCTGCGTTAGAATCACTGTTAGAAAAAATTCAATATACCTGAGTGAAAGCCGATCAAGGTATGTCTCCCGGTCAATGGGAAACCATCTGGGAATCTGATCTATTATCCACGACAATGTAAGCCATATCTCACATATTACAGATGTAAACCAAAGTCCAACTGCATCAGGCACTGGGTGGAGGATTCTGTACTGAAGGAACAATACTAGAATCATAAGCCGAGCCGCAACCATCATCCTATAAGGGCTGAGTCTGCCTGATGGTATTGCTACTTTCCTTGAGAGTGGCTGTCTAGCTTCGTCTCTCCTGCATCAGTTTGTATCACAATACAGTGTTAATTAGTTCATGATCTGCCTTGATTTTGAGTCAAAAAGCTTTCAGATTTGTTCCAAAGTTTCTGAATCTGTAAATAAGTCATGGTGCGTACATGGCCTTTTCAGGATCAACTGATGCATCAGTTTCAGGCCACAGATTGCCTTGATGCAGCTTCCAGTAGTCATCTGTTATCTCTGTCTTTTCATCCAACTTTGCATTTCCTGCTCCATTAAAAGCACTCTGATTATTATAAGCAAGTGTTGTCTTTCTTTTTTTCCTTTTAGTTGTGGAAATAATATAAACGTGCTATTCTTTTTACACAAGAGACTTAGAAGTTAAAGGAATGTGATTTGTAAGATAGTATGTACTCTAGCAAATCTCTGATATGATAACTGTGAAAACAAAAACATACCAGGTCCTCCAACAATAGGAATCTCCCATTCACCTGCATATTGCACACAAACAATTAGAAATTACTATAAGAAGAGAAAATGCTGATGAGCCATGTTTCTATTTTCCCCTTCACCACCTTTTCCTTGTATCAAGCATTAGACTATTACCTTGGCCATTACTTCTGGTAGTGGGTTAGCATTCTCGTCATCTTCTCCACGGCCTACCATGAGCTTGTATTTTTCTACCGTTTTGAACTCATGCTCAATATCATCCACGTCATCTTCGTCTTCATCTCCCTCAACTCTGGGGCTTCCTTTGCACAGCCAAAAAATGACAATTAAAAGCTAAAATCAGGGGTAAAAATTCACTTCCATTTTTTACTTTGTTGCTGTAAATTATGCACTTGTAATCAATATTACTAGGTGTTAAAAATTCACGTGTTTGAATGTTAATACCTTTGATACGCTTGTATCTGGTCTGGCACTGAGGGCAAACTTGAGTGCCTTCCCTCCTTTCATACTCATAGCATGGCCTGCACACAGGGAAACCACATTCTTCACAGGCCACAAACAAATCTTCATCCACTGTATACCCCACAGAATCACCACATATCTCGCATAGCTGACCATCTAAGTTCTTCACAGGTTTAGGCTGCACAAAACGAAAGAATTTGTCAAGTCCAACATAAGCAGGCTGTTAACGTACGATAACTTAAAACTTTTTTTTTTTATATAATATTTACCTCTTCTTCATGTCCTTGTATGACCACAAGCTCATTGCTGTTGTGAGACCCTGCAAAAAGTCCTGTGCTTGCTTCCATGGTGGGTGGTGATTGAGGACAGAGGAAGTACGAATGACTGAGGTTGGGATTGACATTTATAGCCGTTCCCCTGAATTTAAACTACTTTTTTTTTTTTTTACATTTTTTACTATAATTTTCTGAGACATTTTCTCATGTCCCCACAAGGATACTATCATTGGTTGTGGGGTTACTTTTGTGTTGAAGTTATAGTGCAACTAAAGTTCATGTCTGATACAGAGGAGAGTTTGCGTTCAAGAAATGTGCTAAATGCCTAAACTTAGAAATATCATCTCTGTGATGTGCGAGTATATTCTGACGTGGAGATTATTGGTGAAAGTTATATGCTTGTTAAGTCATGCAGGTGGAAGAAGCATCTCACGTTTCAGTTTCATAATGTTTATATGACAACATTTGAAAACATTATGAAACTGAACGATCTTCCTAAAGATGCTTCAGTTCAGATTCATCTTGCCGCTTTAGTATGAATCACAATCTTTTTCAGGATACTGAGATCTGTTCTCCCTTTTTGGGGGAAAAAAAGATCGGTTTTTGTAGTTGTTTCAGTTCACATACGCAAAAATGACAATGAGGGAACAGAAGGATAGGATGTCGCCACCTACTGTCTTCACCAACAAGATTCGATTTCTACAGTGCAGATGGTTACTTTTTCTACGTTGAACTTAACGTGATAGTTAAAGGAGGCACTACTTGATGACACGTAATTTTTTGATGATCCCACCTCATCTCACCCCCGCCCCGGGGGGTACACAGGAAATGAATAAAAGGCTTAAGCCTTTGGTTTTTATTGTTACTTGTAACAGCAAGCACCTCCTTCTTTCCTCTTAGTACCAATATTGAACTGAATCATAGATCTCTATCGTTGAAATGATTGAATTTGGAGAAACTGCCTATATGAGCGGGAGTTAAAGGATTAAAATTCTAAAGCCGAGCTTTGATCGAGTAAGTTCTTCTCTTATTGACTGTTTTCGAATTCTTGTTCTTGGCAATAAAATGGCACTCGTGCATGGGTAAGCAGAGAAAGAAACAGCACAATTCGTATGTTTCTTCCTTTGCAGCAGGGAAAATCCACTGGATGGGAATTATCGCTAGAAAGTGTAGATTTCTTGAATGGAAACCACGTCTTTTCTGTCCAATAATAAAAACTTGTTCTTCTGCCTATCGTCTGGAGAAAAATTGCAGATCAAAGATTCAGATTAATTAAACAATATTTACTCATATGATGTAATCCAATACTACTATAATGCTGCGAAGTATCTTAGCTTCGGCATACCTATTATAAAAGATTTTAAAAGCCCGATCAGCTGGTTTAACTGGCTTTAACTCTTTGTATATTCTTTTTAAAAATTTTGTTCTCTTTATAAAGACTGCTAATTTAATAATGTTTTTGTTTACTTCCCCTAATCTAATTTCGTTTTTTACACTGTTGGTGATAAACAGCCTTTTATAATACTCCTTCTGTTTAAAAATATAAAATATTTTTAAAAAAATTAAATGTTCAAAAATATAAAGCATTTTTAGTCTTTTGAAATGTAATTATTATCTTTTTTTTAAAAGTACCCATATTGATGAATGACTTTATATTTATTATAAAGTGTTTAATAGGGGTAAATGTGAAAAGATGGAGTTAGTTTGAAAGTAGGTAAATACTTTATTGAAGAGTGAGATTCGATTAAAAATATCTTATATTTTTTAACGGAAAGAGTATAAAATTATGCATTTTATAAAAATTTTATCCTAATTTTATATTTCTTCCTTGCGTGTGCGCGTGCATGCGCACGTGCATGTTTGTGTGTGTGTGCTTGTACATGTGTATTTTGAAGTCAATTTGAGCAGAAAGAATTCAACTACAATAAAAGCTAAAGCTTTGTTCAGGTACATGCCAGTTGATACTTCCCTTTATTTTTCTTTTTTTAAAAAATAATTTGGCTTTTTGGATTTTGATTTGGGCAGATGAAACAAAACAATGCTTCAATTTCTATCCTCTAACAAGTTCTCATATTATTTCTCTTCTTTTATCATTCCTTGTGCTATTTCTGCTTGTGCTTTTGGATTTCACATCATAACCGTAAGAGTATGTTAGACTTAGTTTTGATCACAAACAGGGCAATAGACAAATCTATAGGTTTGATTTACTTCCCAATCCTTAGGGCAAATTTGAGCCAAACATGTAATTGAGTACATTTACAAAACTGAGAATGCTGCAATCTGTGCTACACAAAAATTTCACTCTTTCCTTATTCATCCTAGTTCATTTCTCCACCTTTCTGGTTCAAACATCATACGCCATATTACAATCAAGAATTTACAGATCTTACATAAGATGTTCGTCATCAAAGAATTACCATAAAAGAAGCCACTCTTTCAGCAGTTGATTCCACACATCTTGGTATCAGGCCCCTTAGTTTTCATCACAAATGGGTCAATTCTCACCCAAAGTAGTGAGAAAATAGAAGCCAAGAGCACTGACCATATCACAACTATGGTCGGTGTTCGGTTTTGCCGACCCATCAAACCCTTGAGGAATGGGTAGAGATGAACAATCACCCAGAAGGAAAAGAAGAGCTTTCCAAATAGGGGTCCCCAGGATTGGTAGCCATTGTTGATAGCATCTGAGATTCCTGCAACTACACCAACAATATTGATGATTAGTATAGTGGTTGGAGGGATTAGGAGGGTAGTCCATTTAAAGGTGTAAAGTTCTCCAAATTCCTCATCATCTGCTGCCTTGGATGTAACAGTGAAGTTGGTGTCAATTCCAGCTAGCACCTTAAGAAGGCCTTGTATGACAGCAAAGAGATGTGCTGATACACCACCAATGACCCAGAATTGCTCATTTCTCCACCATTCCTCTATGCTTACTCCACTCCATTTCAACTCAAGGAGGCCTGTCGCGATGATGGAAGAGAACAAAGCAACGAAGTACAAACCGGCAAAAGTGCTTATCTGGTACATCAACGATCACAGTAGTACTTATATGAGCTGAGAGATCTCATATGCATTCTGGGACTTCAACTTGTAATTAGTTTTATTAATTAACTAATTACATATCTCTTACTTGACATAAACGGAGTGACTTCAACTCAACTTTTAGCAGGTAAGTGTTAGAACTTGTAACTAAATCTTTAGAAGCCTTGAATACATAGCTTCAATTAACTACTCTATATGATATCAGCATTTATATCATGTTATTTGCTTTTTGAAGATTATGGAATCATGAGTATGTTCTAATCACATTAGCAAGTCATGTATAGAATTGTTACCGGTGGCATGATGAACTTGTCAGTGAGCAAGCAGATGGCAGGAAGAATACAGTATGCAAGTAGAGGAAGGGAGGTGAAGGGGTAGACAGTGGTGTTCACGTAGGCAAATCTCTCGAGCCACTTGAGTTTGTTCCCACCCTTGTAGCCATACCATGCAGGGCAATGAGGACTGAAGAAGATCTCAATTGAACCCAGCGCCCAACGAAGCACCTGGTTGAGCCGATCTGACAAGTTGATTGGAGCTGTACCCTTGAATGCAGGTCTCCTTGGCATGCAGTAAATCGACCTCCAACCCCGGCAATGCATCTTGAAACCTGTAAGGATATCCTCGGTAATAGATCCATAGATCCAACCCAGCTGCACAAGATAAAGGCAAGAACATAGATGATCAGTTGAAGTCCTTGATAATTTTATCACAATATCTAATGCCTCCCCATTATAAGATGTTGATATCATATGGAGGATGAGTTAACCTCAAGCTGTTAAGGCCTGTTATGTCTAAAGGAAGTATTGTTAGTATTACCTCAGTTCCCCATTCTGTTTTATCCTCATAGCCACAGCTTATGACATGAATTGCTTCTTTGAGCAAAGCTGCTGGGCTTGAGGAAGGAGGCACACCACCTTCTTCCATCAAAGTTGAGGTCACAAAAATAGATGATTGCCCAAATCTCTTTTCAAAATTCATCTGAGACATCAGCAACTCTTTATCTTCTTCCATCCCTGCTGAAGCAAATCACAGAGAAATAAGAATAGCTATATATGGAAATCAAACTTAGTACCTATAATACAAGTGATTGGGATTTGTAAGAACCTTGTTGTAGCATTGCAGACTCTGCATTTGCGCCATCCTTAGCATCCTTTTGCTTCCTTCGGCGTCCAAAACATGGGCAACAATCACAGCTTACCATCTTGGGGCGTTTAGGACCCTTTGGAGGGTTGTATCCGTATAAAGCTTGCCTCCTGAACACACATCCTGTCCCCACGTACACAGGACCCTGAATACCATCTAGACCCTTCATGTTAATCTGCATAGAAACACAAATAAGGGGGATTGATCAACTTTAAGGTTCCGAAAAATCAAACTAGGAAACATGGATTACACAACAGAGATACAGACACAAACTCAAACACATTAGATCACTAGGAAGATGGTATGTTTATCAGACCAGTTCATTAAACAAGTCAAATTTGAATTTACTAGTATCATGCAACTGTATGTGATAGAAGAACACAACTTTTCTGGCAAGTGTGATTGGTTCCTAAGAATTAAATTCAAGGAAGAGATAACTTAGGCATTGGATTTGTGATGGCTGAACTGACTTACATCAAAGAAAACTGTGTTCCTGTTGGCATAACGATCGTTCCTGTCAATGCCATCAAATCTCTGAGGAAATTGGACGTAGCAGACTTTCTTTCCAGTTTGAGGGTCCATCAAGAAGCACATGGCCTCTCGGACGGCCTTGCTATTATTAACATAGTGATCACAATCCAAGTTGAGCATGAAAGGGGCATTTGTAAGCACAGCAGACACCCGAACCTGGAACACTCCAAAAGTTAATTAATCAATGGCATAATCAAATTGAAGCTAAACTTGTGAAAGTGTCTTATATATATATATATATATATATATATATGATGACATACCAGAGCATTCATGGCACCAGCTTTCTTGTGGTGAGCAAAACCTGGCCTTTTCTCTCTGGAGACATAAACAAGACGAGGAAGAAGGTTGCCTTCGGTGTCACAACCTCCACTGTGACCAAGAAAGACTTGGATCATACCAGGATGGTCTTTGGTGTTGTTGCCTGGCCATGGAGTCCCATCCTGCATAATCCACCCTCCTGGTGGAACCTTCTGGGCTTTCGCCACAAGTGCATTCACTCTTACCTTAAACTCTTCGTATTCTCTCTGTCATCAACCCAATATAAGTTCAATCCTCTTCTAATTTTCAACAAAGTTCAAATACATCTAGACCAAACAAAACCACCAAAAGATTGATTTAATATATATATATATATATGCACACGCAAAGCAATTCCTTAAACTTTCCATAAATTTTATTTTAATGCTTTAATTTTATAATATATTTTTTAATTTTTTTAACTCAAACGCTAATAGTTTCACAAACAAAAATATTGAAACATGTTTAAACATTAGACATGTTAAGTTTAATTTTTTTAAATAGCAATAATTGATACAAAATTAGAAGATATTTTATAAAATTAAAAACTACACTAAATTTTATCTAAAACTAGAGGATCAATATGATGCAGTTTGATCCCAAACGCGAAAGTATTTTTCCCCTTTTAGGGTAGAAGGAGCATAGGCAAGCACATAAGGAGAAGTTATTATCAAGTTAATTGGGTTTAAATCAATTTGTTTGAGGTCAAAAAAGTTATGAAGTCAAACATGAAACTTTTACTTAATGTTGTTTAAGATTTTTTTTTGAAAAAATAATGAATAAATCTCTTTAAAATAGGAAAATGGCAATTTGAGCTTGCAAAATATAATAATACCTTCTAAATTTAAAAGAACTAATTATCATTAAAATTTTTGATGAAATGACAAAAATGTCCCTTAATTTAAAGAATGAAGAAAAATTATAAAAAAGTTATAAATATTTAAACCTCTTTAATCATTTACTGAAATAGACCTGTGAATTCTAAAATTAAAGTTATAAATAAAAAAAACTTGTTGTACTTTGTTTATTGAAGAAAAATAATAAGAGAAACTTGTAAATACCTAAACCACTTTAGTTATTTATTGAATTAGAATTGTGAATTCTAAAATTAAAATTGTAAATGAAAAAACTTTGTTACAATTTGTTGATTGAAAAAAATGGAGAAAAAGTTTTGAATGTTTAAATCATTTTAGTTGTTTTTTAAGTTAGAGTTATGAATTTTAAAATTAAAGTTGTGAAAGAAAAAAATTGTTGCACTTTTTTTTAAGTTAAGAAGTAGTTCTATCATTTTATCAAAAACTTTAATAATAATAAAATTTCTTAAACTTAGAAGGCATTATCATATTTTATGAGAACAAATTGTCATTTTCTAATTTTGGAGGAATTTATTTGTCATTCTTCTTTCTTTTTGATATGAGAATGTTGTTTTAGGTTTTAAAGAACGAGTAATTTACATAAAAAAGATAAAATAAAGTCTATATAATTATTTTAAAGGATTAAGATTGTTATAAGTTCTATCAAAGAGCTCTAACTGATGGATTATAAGAAAATAATGTTCTAAATAATTTTGATGATTTTTCTAAACTTAGTAATAATTAAATTCAATAAAATTTTATTTTTAAAATAGAAATCTTTTTAATGAAATCTTCGGCCACTGAGTGTGAGTACAAATACAAATTAAGATGAAGAAGCTTTAATATAATACAGACCTTCATCGCCCGACGCTCCTTGACGAAAGTGGGCTGAACTTTATCTTTCAAGTAATCCATCTTCTCAGAGAAGTACATCTCAGGAGCTCGAGGCTCAATGCTGAATTTCTTGCAGAACGGGACCCACTTCTTCGCAAATTCTGCAGTTTCTGACAGTGCTTCGAACGTGCACATCGATGCTCCGTCGTCTGATATGTAGCACGATATCTTCTCCACCGGATAATCCATCGCCAATATCGACAGTACCGTGTTCGCCGTCACCAACGGCGGTTCCTTCATCGGATCCACCGTACTCACAAACACATCCACCGGCGCCAGCAGGTTCGGCTCTCCTTCCCTCTCATACCTGCATTTCTAATATATTATGTTACATCATAACACAAAGCCTCAAAACATTTAATCCAAAGGTAAGCTTGTGTACCTGATTGAAAGACGATCGAGATAAGTTTCGCGATCGATGGGGAACCATTTGGGGAACTGATCGAGGATCCAGGAGAAAGCAAACCAGATTTCACATATAATGGAAGTCAGCCATAGGCCCATGGCGTCATGAACTGGGTTCAGAATTCGATATCGCAAGAAGAATGCAAGAATCACAAGACGTGCCACTATCACCATCCTGTACGGATTGACCTTGCTTGATGCTATTGGCACTTTCCTTGACAGTGGCTGCCTCGCTTCATCTAACCTGCAATATTACCAATTGCATACCAAATTATATCAAAAACTAGTTCAATCCAACTAGTTGAACTAATGAATTATTGAAGTAGTGTTTGGACCCATTCAATGAAATGTCTTATTTATGACGATTTTGATTATTATCTCTTAAATCAGGCTTTTAAATGATTTAATAACTGGTCTGGTTTTTGATATATTGACTTTTACACCCCAATAAAACGTACAAGGCTGCATCTGGATCTTCATCAGGTTCGGGCCCCAAGTTGCCTTGCTGGAGTTTCCAGTCTTCCATTCTATCTTTCCAGCCATCCTCGTTCTTCTCATATTCCCCTCTTGCACTTCCTGCTTTGATCATCACATTACACACACCCAGTGAATAAAAATCAACAAGTTAATGTGATATGTAACAAACAAAAAAGAAAATTATGAGCTGGATAGTTTTGTGATTGGAAAATCAACATATGATACAGTATCTCCGACACACGCACCAATGTCAGCGTTTCTTATAATGAAGTGTAACAAACCAAAATTAGTAATTGGATGGTTTTGTGAGAGAATAAATATTACCAGGTTCAGAAACTGGGTAAGGATGAACACGTTTGTGCAGAGAAGATGATAGCATCTGCTCTCCGTAACCATGAGATGATATTGGGAATTCTCCGCTCACCTGCATGCAATAATAAAATTACAGTGTTAGTACAATAAATTCTGGAGATAAATATCTGTATGTGTGGTTGATGGTGAGAGTTTCAATAGTGATCAGTGATGAAAATCATACCGGAAGGGAGCGGTTTCCGGCGATGACAGGAGGGAACTGAGCATTGTCGTCATCTTCAGGACCTCTTCCATAGCTCATCTTGCCATGCAGCATGGCCTCTGCCATATGGTTGTGCTTGTTCTTCTCGTCTGCAGCAATCTTGAATTCATGTTCAATGTCATCCACGTCCTCCTCATCTTCGTCTCCCGCCACCCTCGGGCTTCCTTCACCACCAAATTCAAGTTATATATATATATATATATATGTATTACTACTTGAAGATCATCATGTATTGTGCTTATATAATAGGTACGTACCTTTTAGACGCTTGTATCGGGTCTTGCACTGTGGGCAGAGTTGGCTTCCTTCTCTGCGTTCATACTCATAGCAGGGACGGCAAACTGGGAAACCACACTCATTGCAGGCGACAAACAAGTCGCCGTCGACGGTGATTCCGACGTCGTCGCCGCATATCTCACACACCTGGCCGTCCAAATTCTTCAAAGGCTTGGGCTGCACCCACCACCATTATCATCAGAACCGACCAGCAAGCAATATACAAGTAGATGGCAATGCAAGAATATTAATAATTACGTACCTCTTCATGGCCGTGAATGACGACGAGCTCGTTGCGGTTGTGAGAACCGGCGACGAGTCCAGCGCTGGCTTCCATGGTTGGTGGCGGCGAAGACGATGATGAGTAAGGGAATGAAGAAGAAGAAGTTAGGATTGTAAGAGTTTAAAGAAGGATCGGAAATGGAAGTGATGAGAGATCACCTAATGCGTCCACGTTAGGGTTGCTGAGATTAGTTACGGAGTCTCCATTGCCTTCAATTGAAGCTTCGACTTTCCTTCCTTCCTTTGTTTCTTTCCAACCTCTCTCTACCTCGCTGCCTTTCTGTGACTTCTCTCTCCAACGGCCTCCTTCCTTGGCATTTTCTGTTTTATTTATTATTCTCTTTCCCTCTTTCGTTTCTATTTTCAATTTGCTTTTTTATTTTGATTTCATTTCATTCCTACTGATAGTTAACGTTATTTTAGTATTTTGAATTTGAATAAAAAGACATATTAATAATTATTTAAATGAATTATTTTTTTATAAAACTATTTAGTACCCGGTATATGTTATGTTGTGAGTCTTTTATTGCAAAGTTTCTCAAGTAAAGTAAAGTTTATAATTTAAGTTTAAGATGCTTTGCTGCCCAACATATTAACTTTTTAGGAGAGATTCTCCCTTTAAACTTATAACATTTGTGATTTCATGAAGAGCTACCAATGTCATAAAGAGAGCTACTGATGGAGGCTTCTGATTAGAGGGAAGTCGAGTGAAATACTATTGGCTTTTAAACAGAGTGGCATTATTATGAATTCACATTAAAAAAAAAACCTCATAAGTAAATTTTGTGTTCATAAATTATGAGCTTATAATATAATATTGATGTTTTTTCTCTCTATTCAATAATATCCAAACCCGCCACTTCTTCATTTAATAAGAACAAAGTAACTTCTCCTCAATCCAACCACGGTGAAATATTTATTGATATAACCTAACATGTATGCATGCAACTTGTGGGAAATATGACGTGCCCTAAATCAAAAACAATTTTCGCCGATATGATCTGAGTAAACTTGAGCTTGAATGATCTTCTATTATTACACAATCAGTTTCAGATCCAATGACATACATATAAATTTCTCACTTTAAATGTGACTTATCAATATGTTTCATTTTTTTATTTATCCTTTTCTTTTTTATCTTTTTCGTATACCAACCTGTTTCTTAAAGAGAAAAATTGATAATAAAAAAAATAAATAGGACAGCATTTAAAAATTCTTTTTTTAATAGATAGGACCATGGTAAAGACCATGCAATTACAAACAATTAGTCACAAGGAATTCAAATGAGTAAGCCAATCAGTACATTGATTTGCTTTTATAAAATCCTGGTCTATAGAAATTTGTCAATTGCATGCCAAATTTCTAATCATTCTGATAATAATACTGAGAGGATGAATTTGATGATTATATGCATTCTATATGATATGGATAGCCATTTAAAAAATTATAACTTTGAGTATCATAATCATCTTCTCAAGAGAAAGAAATATAAAGAGAAAGCAGGTGAAAAAATAATTTAATGAGCAACATTTAGGAGAGGTAAAGGCCAAAAGAAACTTCAGTCAAATAAAAAGGAATTTCAGTTAGTATATTTGGCGATACTTAATAGAACCTAATTAATAATAGCAAGGTTAATTTGGAATTTATTTGTCATATTTTAAAATGCATGAATTTTCTAAAAGAATAATTACATTTTTATGCCTCATGTTGTTAACATTTTATGAATAAAGTAGCTTTCAGTAGCTTGGATATGCATGGGCGTACTATTATTAATGGATATTGATATTGATTCAGAATCAATATAAAAATATACCTTCGATTTTTTTTTCTTTGCCGGGTGATATGCTGTTTAATTTCATATTGTCAATAAGATTTATTTGTACAGTATAATGAGATTAGACTAGTGTCTGCTTAGTTGTATATAGTTGTCACCCTCAAAATCTACATCATGAAAATGATATTGGTGCTAATTACTTTAATTTCGGTTAATATGTGACACTGTTACAAAATGGTCCCATGGACAATTTAGCCATTTCAAATAATGACTGCATTTTTAAGCCATGTTTTTTTTTTTAAAGCCATGGTTCAAAATTGTGTCACTAACAAAATAGCCATTATTATCAATGATACCTTGGGAGATGGACCATTAGCTATGTAGATAAATAGTATGTGGTTCTTTCTTAATCATTATAGGTTAATCTCCTCAATGAATAGAGAGATATAAATATTGTAATGGATATCCATGAAGTAACCTCGTCACTACCCCCGCGCGCGCACAAATATTTGTCTTTAACTAGTATGAGTTTTGTGCATTACTTACTAGTATTCCAAATCATAAATAATGTGTTTTATTAAAAATTTAGATTATTTTAGTCTAATTATTTTTTATACAATATATTAATCTAATCCATAGTATAAGTTATTTTTAACTAATTCATCATAACTAAGAAAAATTATTTATTTATATTATTAACATTGTCAAAAAAATTGTTTCAATTTCTAGCTCTCACCCTAATGCATATATTATTGTCTCCACCTCATTTTATAAGATTTTTTTTTGGTAAAACTATGTATATTAATGGCACTTAAATACAACTTAGAATCTCAATTTCTCAAAAATACACACACACACACATATATATATATATGCTAATTTCAAAATATCTTTGATTTAATAAAGGAAAGAAAGATAGACGAAAAAGATATTTAAAGAGTAAAATAATTAGAGGTAATTTTGAAATAAGCTTCATTCATGAATCATTTATTTTCACAAAACATCTTATATCATGAAACATCAAATCACTCTAAAAAAATTATAAAATGACATAGAGGAAGAGAGAGAGTGTGTTGTGTGTAACAAATTCTTTCTGTCACTTCATTGAAAATTGATAGCTAGACCGCAAGAACACTTTTGGGATAAGGTAATCAACGAGATACAAAAACTCTTACAAAAATTACATGAATTTTGAAAAATAAAACTTTTATTTTGAGGGTGACTCCCATGAATGACAAGAGGAAGAAAAGTATATAAACTATTGTACCCATTGTATATATAGTCAAAAAGAATCAGATTGATTATTGATGGCAATAAATATTGCGAAATAATTAGTTCACATTTTTGTTACGTTATTTTGGAATGATAAAATTACTGAACACGTAAGGTGTTGCTTTCAGATCTACGATGTGTGCGTGTGTGTTTGCTTCATCTGCGAGTAAAATAACATGTCAGCATTTGGAACGAAACCAACTTTAAAGCCAAGTTACCTTCAAAACGTTAGGTATGTAAGTTGTGGCTTCTACATCTGAACAGTACACAAATAATATCATTCCTATTACTTTCTTCTCGATCTCAACATATAAATCTATATATATATATATATATAAGCAAATCGATCAAACCCTAGCCTGTTAGAGATATGGAGAAATGCGGCTGAGAGAGAGAGAGCAAGCATTTTCCCAGAATTGATGGTTTTTTCTGGCAATATTTATGAAGGTAAGAAGCATATTCCAAATTAAATTTTGATTGGTTTGGTTTCATTGTTTTGCTTGGACACCCCAAGAGACTTCATCTTCTGTGAATTAATTTGAAGAAGTTATTGCTAATCAGTTCGCTGGATCTGTTGTAAACTGCATCTGTGTGATAAAGAACTCGGATTTGAAATTCACATGTGAAATCCGGCCCCTATAGACAACTGATCAGAAAGGTACATACCAGCAGAAACAGATAATTATAAAAAAAATCCCAAAGCTTAATTATAAGAGTTAATTAATACACAAAAATCCAATAATCTTAGATGAGACAAAACCAATAATTAAGATTGAGAGGTTAAGCATACGCTATATACATATAGGCAAAGGAGAGACTCCCTTGAAGACTTTAACAAATAAATTATCATTTAGTCATGATAATAGGCTGAAGAGAGATCACTTGCGAATATATATATATTTTTTTTGTTCCATCGTCCATTATTCTGAGAAACCTGGAATATTATCATACCACCTCCACTACAGACTATCCGGACTCTAGAATCGTTTTTATATACTCATAACACAACTTCATGGGTGTCTCGGGGATGCCTTATATATTTTTATTTAACACATTCATGACTCAAACTTGAGACCTCGAACAAAGCACCCCTCGATTAATTGATTAAACTAATTTAACAAATATTGATTATATAATTTGTTGATTATCTAGACTTTTACCAAATCTAAAAAGATAAATCATATTATCTATGACAAGAAACAATATTCAATCCAACAGTGGTGATTATAGAAAAACATGATCGCAAAAATATATGAGGGGGTGGGGTCAGGATTTCTTGGCAATTAATCCGTACAGCTACCAGTAATGTTGGTATTGCTCCAACATTGTGAGGCTTTTATCAAAAATTGCAAAAGCAAGCTTTGGTGAGGGTTCTTTGTAAACTTAAACTTAAACCACCACTCTTATGAAAGCATGTATTCAAGGCGGTTCATGACTGAATCGTTTTGTTGGGGGGAAAAAAAATTAGCATCTTCCCTATATATATATATATATATATATTCTCGATCATTTGTAAACTTTTTTCCCCTTAATGTTGAATGAGCATTAGAGGCTCCAAAGAGCTAATTATATTAAAGTAATTAAATATTGACTTTGATGTTGTCCAAAGCTCTACAATTGTGCTAGGCAACAATTAATCAAGATAATTAGAAAAGCCCTTTATCTAATTTTACATTCTCCAAGGAAGTTATTGATGCTTTTTTCTGACGACCCATCATTTTGTCTGCCCCGTGTGATTGTTTGAAGTTTGAGCTCCCTCTGATTGTATTCACCTTATCATTTTAGATATTTCTTAATTTTAGTCTTTGTGTACGGTTTTTTTGTGAAAAAAAAAAGTTTAAACTCCTCTACTTATTGTTAATTTGGCCCTTGTTTTTTATTTGTATCCACCTCATCTCACTGTGTTTAATCTCTACAAATTTTTGGGGTTATACTAGCAGTTATTTTTATTATACGATCATGGTAGCCATATCCAAAAGAAATAAGATTTAAGCTGTCACATTCAACATTATACAAATTGTCTTTGATAAGTAATCTGGGTACTAATTTATTTTGTAAATCAATTTTGACATTATACAATTTGTCTTTGACAAGTAATCTGGGAACTAATTTCTTTTGTAAATCAATTTTGACATTATACAATTTGTCTTTGATAAGCAATCTGGAAACTAATTTCTTTTGCAAATCAATTTTGACATTGATCCTAACATATATTTTTCCCTTTCGGTCTTGCCTACTTTGTTTTTTTGATTCTAATTCTATAAGAGTGTAAGTGTGTCAACCCTTCAAAGCATGCAATTGCCCATTCGCCATTGAATCTCTTTATTATTGAATCAGTTGGATGTTTGTTAATCAAACCCAAATGGCAATTTAGGGAGACCAGCATAAAATGAGAATAATAACACTATAACAAAATAATGTTTTTCTCACGGCACAAACATGTGAGAAATCACTCAAATTTTCATGAGAAAGAGTTTTCTCATAACATTTCTTACACTAAAAGGTTTGTCAAAACCATCGAAGGAAAAAAGCATTTTTCATGGATGGAACTATGAAAACCATTTCTCACGGCCTTATTGTAAGAGGTTTTTGTTGAAAAAAATTTGTGAGAAACTCTTGCAAAAACTTTTTGAGAGAAGTGCTTTCAATATAAATCTATAATAACTTCTCATATATTATCGGCGAGAGAAATTCTCTCATATAAAGATGCAATGAGAATTTCCTACGACAATATTTAGTGAGAAATTTCCATGCATAATAAAGTTGCGAAGAATTTCTTTTAAAATAATTCTAAGAGAAATGTAAGACATATTATTGTATACAACATTTGTGAGAACGTCTCTCATAACCATATACTGTGAGAAATGCCAACAACTTGATTAATTGTTTTTCTCACTAATTTGATAAATTAATAATTTTCATAAGAAAGTTATTCTCACAAAGTTTTTTCACAAGAATTTCGTAAGAATTCTATATTAGTACCATTATTTATTTGATAATTTAAAAATTATATTAGAAACCTATTAAAATATTTCTGAAATAACTGACAATCAAATAAAAGTTGATATAAGCACATATATCACAATTGAACTAACAAAAAATTGCATTATATCATACTGTTTGTAACAAAAGTCATAATATTACACAATAAAAGTCATAATACTATGCAATAAAATTTATTTTAAAAGTCATAACACATAAAATATGAAATCACATAAATTCATTCTCATTGAACTCATCATCCTCTTCATCATTAAAACCATCTTCTTGTGAGTTTTCTCTAGATCACCACGATCCTTCTCATCATTGGTTTGGAAGGACCATCTTTTTTAAATTTGCTTATCCGTGCCACGATCATTGTCCATTTTTGATCTATTCTTTCTTCCCTAGCACAAAATTCTTTCTCTCTTCTTTCATTCCTAGCTCAAAATTCTTCCTTTGTTACTCACAAAAATTCAACAACCTTTTCAAATTTATCCTCATAAAAAATTTTTTTATTCTTCCAGTTGTTTCTTTAAAAGTGCAATGTTACCAGATGTATTAGCACAATGAGTTCTATTAGAATTAAAAAGCTCTACCTGTGATTCTAGCCCATAAACTCAACCCCTCTTATTTTCCCCCCAATCACTTGAAGCCATAAAGCAGAGTTGGAAATACTAGAGTCAGATTCTTGACATTCTTTTAATTGCTCAAACTTGTGTTGCATTCAAACAAAATAATGTTAAAATGTATGCCTAAAAAACAAAAAAAGAAAAGAATAAAGACTTAAAAACTTACATAAGTGTCAACAGCTCTCTTTCTAACCCAACCTTTTTCCACCTTATGTTGAATTTTCTTAAAAACCTCAAGATATTCACAAGGCCTTCTGAATTCAATTTCCTACATTATTTATAAAAAAATAATAGGATTAAGTCAACTAAAGAATGAAAAAATACAAACATATTTGAATTATGCTTATCATTCTTCTTTTATGCCCTACAAATGCTATTCGTTTGCCTCTATGCACGCATCCTCCTATGTTAGCTGCTCTATTTTTTTTTATTTTCTTAGATTTGGCTTTAAATTCATCACTTTCTCAATATTTTTTAAGCTCCTTTCGAGGTCCAGGCATTAACCATTAACCTTTTGTTTTACAATTCAAATGTCCCTTAAAAAGGAGCAAATCACTCCACTACATTTGTTCTTCCATATTTTATGAACATCGTTGTCTAAAGTTGGATCCCAAGCACATCTTAGCTGCATATAAAAACATGAAAATGTCAAGTGTTACAAAATAAAATATTTGTATCAATAAGTTATAATGAATTAGTAAATCAGCTCACTTTGAATTCATTAAACCATAAAATTTTAACATTTTCTGGGACTTTATTAAATGTAGGCCATCCACTCTTATACTTTAAATGGGTTATTTTAGATAAGATTGACACCAATTCAATTGAAGTAAGTAACAAATGATAACATAAAAATTCAAATAAAATGTACTTACTCCTTGTTACTCTCAGGACGAATCACCAAGCGACCATCACTTAATCTAGACCCAGCATCATATGTTTGATTAGACAAGCCAGCTATATTTGTACTCAATCTAGAAGAATCAACCTTGGATCTTGGTGATCAATTGCTAGCAACTTGTGGCTGAGTTTATGGTAATTGTGTGACAACTAGTGGTTGAGGTGGTAAAGGATGTGTCTCAGGCGATGATAGTTGTGTATAAGGGGGTGATGGCTGTGTATAAGGTGGCAATGGCTGTGTATGAGGTGGTGGTAGCTGTGTCTGAGGCAGTGATAATTGTGTCTGAGGTGGTGATGGACATGTCTAAGGTATTAAAAAAATAGTTAGTGATTGAGATTGTGATGATTTCATTGTCTTACCCTTCTTCTTTTTTCGAGATATCATTATGTCTTTTTGAGAAGATGTTATCTAAAGCAATTAAATAAATAAATAAGTAGATAAATAAATAAAATAAAATTTTATAATAAAATACAAACTAACAAGCATAATAAACAAAATAATAACAAGATTTACCAATTATAATCAATCACTTGCTAAATAATAATCAAAAGGAGGATCTTCTTCTATCCCAACAAACACCTCACCAGTGATCTTTAAACACTTTCTTACACATCTATTATTGTCCATCCAATGGTGATGTTCAGGTGGAGTCATTTATCAATGATGGAGCATTATTTCATAAATGAGAAGGAAGTGAGAGTAGTTATAAGGGTAAGAACGAGGTAATAGTGAAGAATTATATATGGGTGATGTAAAGAGGTCACATGTTATTGTCTCATTCAAGTTTCATTCACATATTTGAGGTTATCTCATCTAGTCATCTTGTCAGAGTTTTTCCACAAAAAATAATTGGCAAATGTGGATCATAACACTTTTGAGTTTGAGCTCTTGCTGGATTTTAGCTTTGATATATTATTAATTTTATGTTAGAAGGATGCGGCTTGGTTTATACGTGTCCTTGGAGATCTTAATATAATTTTGTGATACCTAATATAAATATGGACCGAGTTTTAATTTGACCCCACTGATTTTAGGAGAACCTAGTGAAATTGATGATCAAATAATTGAAATTTGAAATAATGAAAATACGGATAGTGAGAGAGCATTGGAATTTTAGAATAATTTAATTATTATGAATGATTTTTTATTACAAATTTTATTTCAAATTGTTTAATTATTATGTTTTTTGTGGAACCATTTATTTTATTTCTAATTTTTTTATACTTTTACTAAAATCTTGCATACAGTTTTAAATAATTTCGACTTTTATATATTTAATTTGTTGTTTAAACTTTTTTTATTTAGCAAATCAAGTTGGAAACTATTAATGTAATTTTACAATTGTTCACACTTCACACCGTTCACATGATTAGTGGGTAAATCAATGATGGTGGACGTTGACATAAAAACTCCTCTACTAGTATTGTTGTTGTGCATAGAAAGAAGGAAATATAATTGACTAAAAGAGACAAGACAACAAAGCCTCGCGTGTACAGGGATGATGAGAAGGAAGGGAGAGGGGCATGATGGTAAGAACAAAATGATAGTTGATAACTATATACGGTTGATCAAGAGAGGTAATACGTTACTCCTTCTATTAAAAAATATAATATATTTTTAATTGAATCTCACTTTTTAATAAAGTAGTTACATATTTTAAACTAACACTATCTTTTCATATTTATCCATATTAAACACTCTATAATAAATATAAAATTATTCATTAATAAAAGCACTTTTGAAAAAAGAGCGATAATTAAATTTCAAAAAACTGAAAATGTCTTACATTTTTTAATATACATTTTTTCAAAAAATATTTTATATTTTTTAATGGAGGGGCATTTAGCATTTCTTTGTAGAGGGACTCTTGTTATTTAGCATTTCTTTCAACTTTTAAGTGCACCCTCTCATGACTATTGTTGCTAGTTTATAATTTTAAGGGTGGTTTTCCTAAACATGACAAAGCTTGTAATTGGCAAAACAATATTGGATAGCAAATATAAAACAAAAATTAATTGATAACCACCAAATCGTGTACCTAGAGTGATAGAGGAAAGCCAATGGCACAAAAATAAAGGATCAAGCAAAACTAGCCAATTCTAGACATAAAAGCTTGCATTAAGTCATCTTGTATAAAGAGAATAATGCAAAGCTTATGTTTCATGATGACATATATAAATGGTAAGAGCTTGTTGAATTCTCAAATAGTAGTTCAAATGACAGCAAAAACAAACCATTCAATTGTATATGGAAGCCAAAGTTTAGAATATAATGCAAGAGGGAGACATATTGCATAAATGTGCCACGTATTTGTATCCTTTAGCTTCAGTGTCCTCAACTTAGAAGAAGATATTAAAGGCTTCGTGCAAATGAGAATAATTTTTTTTTTTTTTACGTGTTGGGCCATTGATTTAATGCTTTATGTCAGATATCATAGTCATATGAGTATTTTATTTTTAATTTGTTCGATAATTTCTTTGTATTAATTAAAGCCCAATTTTGGGCCTAAGTATAAGCTGGTTTTAATTAACTAATAATGAAACCTTCTGTGGTCAACATTTTAAAATTTTCATTTTAAGTAACTAATCTAGTTTTCTGTTGGCAGGAAAAAAAAAACAATCTAACTGTAGAAGAACTTACACAGTTGACATTTTTTTTCAATAAAAAAGTTCTCTCCCTCTTCTTCGACAAAGCCAATTATCGTTGGCTTTATTTTAGCATAAGATTAAAAAGTAAAAATACATATATAAAGAAAATTAATTACCTCACTTATGTAAAATATTTTCAAATAAGTTTATGTTCAATTAAGTAGACCATGTTGAATATATTATAAGGTAACATTCTCTCTTATTCCCTACTAAACATTTTAACTGTACAACTTTTTGTGTGCCTTATAGGATTATAAGCCTGCTCAAATAATATGGCAAATTAAAATAATATAATTTAAAAACTTATATTTTTCAAAAGTAGTATCATAACTTCATGGTTATACACGTGAACCATAACATCAATCCTCATGCCCTGTGTTCAAATCCTAATGCAATCTTTTATTAACATTTTTTTGAAAAGAATGGTGTACATTAAAAACAATTTCTCTCGGAACTACATAAATTGAGTGAATTTCTCACGGTGCAAACTTTCCGCGGAAAACTTGAACACTAGAACAATATTGTGCTAGACAAATTCCTCACAAACAACAAGCTTAATAGCTGAATTCCTTTTTTGTTATTAAGAAAATAAAATTCAAAACTTAATTATTTTAATATATAAATTGAAGTTGACTAGAAAAATAAAATAAAATAATATTTAATAATTTGGATATTCAGTTTAGCCAGAAAGTGTAACATCCTAAATTTTTTAATCCTAAGTTTAGAGGTTAATCGAGGATGAAGTGGAAATTAAAGTGGAATTAAAGATTCGGATGGTTAATTGGCATTTTGACTTGTTTATATGTTATATGGACATATATGGGCGATAGGAGTGCATTTTAGGTCGAAGCAACTGTGTGTGGTGAGAATAAATCTCATTGTGCCACGCGCCACGGCTTGTGCTGCATGTGCCGCGACACATGAACTAGAAATTCACTTTATAAGTCATGAATTTTCAGAAATTTCAAAGGAGAGAATTTGAGAAACACACAAAACAGAGAGAGGAGTAGGGCTAAAAAGATAGGTTAAGTCATTTTAGAGTAATGGAAGGTGATTCGGATTGGTAACTTGCCAGGTAAGCTATGTATAACTCTTACCTTCCATTCTACACAAATTTCTCTAAAAATGAGTTATAGGAAAATTGAATCGATGGAATTTGAGGAGTTTGATTCTTGTCCAATAGTAATAAAAAGATTCTTGAAAGTTAAATTAGAGCTTTGCAATTAGTTTGGAGCGGAACGGTAAAGTTTTAAACCTGGAGGCTCAATTTTGGCCTTTAGAGAGAGAAAGTTAGGGCAAAAATCTATCTTAAGTGAAATAAGACTGGTTGAGGTGATGTAAAGTAGTAATTGGGTTGTCATGAACTTAAAATAGATAAATGAAAAAAAGTTTACAGATGAACATAACCCTAAGTGGTAAAAATGAGTTTTTGGTCAAAATAAACCAAATGACTAAAATGTGCAAAATATATTCAGATTGGCATATTGGACGTGTGAGTGGAGAAAGAAAGCTTGAGATAAGCTTATATGATAGTGAAAATCCACGGGTAACCTTTCTAGTGACAAAAGGATTGAGATAACTAAATAACTTTCTTTGTTTGACTAATTATTGTAACTGTATGTTAATATACTATGTAATACATGAATTAGTTTTGAATTGAGCATGTTTTGTGGCATTGAGTGATTGTATGTGTAAAAATGACTTTTGATCGAAATGAGCATTGAAATTATGTTTTGTAATGTAAAGTGCTATATACATATATATATATATATATATGTTACGTATGAGAAAAGTAAATTGTGAAAAGGAAAACTTAAATGGTTCGAGAAAGTATGATCTAAGTGGTGAGAGTTCACCCAAGAGTATAAGAGATGATAAAAACCATATGGTAAGGTTTTCTTAGTACCGTGTTAGGGTGCGGTATTGGAAACAATTCTCCTTAATGTCTTGAAAGGTGCTATGTTAGAGAAAATCTCTTGAGTGCCTATTAAGGTACTGAGTTAGAGATGAGAGATTCTTTAGTATCTTTATAATACTGTTTAAAGTTAATGACGCCCCATTGTGTGTATTGGAAAAAACTATAGTTCGTATTGTGCATTAGAACATCTTTGGCTGGGTGATTCTACCACTACAAGTGAGCTCAAGACTAATGAGAGTGTATATTGGTATGAGATGAGCCTATGGTTTCATGTCGGGGTGATTTAGAGGTTTGGTTGGTAGAGATCATGCTAGTATTTTATATGATATGATGAAATATCTTGCAATAGCATGGAATCCTTTGGGATTGATGAAAAGTGGAAAATGAAATGTGATATGATGTAAATACTACTTTATGAGATTTTAATTATATACTATATTTACTTTCGTATTGTTGTATGTGATAGTCAATAGGAGTAAGTTATTCTATTATTGAGATTTTTATCTCACCCCCATGGTTATATGTTTACAAGATCGAGAAGTAATCAGGCCATAGGAAGAGTCTGGATTGACTTGAGTTGTGAAGCTGTGTACTCTAAAGTTGTGTAATGAACTGAATTGAAAGATTGTATATATAAGTGTATATGAGTTGCCATTGGTTGCATGCATGTATTGAATTGAGTTTTTTGTGAAATCAAGCTCGATTATGTGTATATGTATTGTTTGAGACAAAAGGGGCTTTGATTTGTGTATGTTTGTGTTACAATAGTTATATGTTGGTGAATCTTAAGTCAAAGAACAAATTATGAGGAAATGAGTAATTTGGAAGCTAAGATTGTATTGTGGATATGATTGCATATGTATGAGTTGAGAAATAGCCGAGTGGGCTAAGTTATGTCAAGAAATGGCATAGTATGTTAAGTTAGTGAATTGTGGAAATTGGTCGTAGAAGGGTCAAATTTTGATATTTGAGCATGATTGTGATTAATTGTAATCAATCAGGTGTATTAAATTCTTTTGAACTTGGTTCATGGCCTAGTTTGGTCTTATAAGAGAAAGTGATCGATTTGAGCACTTGGGTATGCAAAATTTTTAAAAAAAGTGACTTTTTTACACCCCGGGTGCCCAAATTTTGATCGAACTATTAGATTGTGTCCAAACCTATCTCATTATTTAGTATACGAGGTAAGCTTTGTGTGAGCGCTTGAATCACTCCGATCGGATGTCATATGAGAAATTGGCGGACACCGGAAGTTTGTCATTTTTGCTGTCAAAATGATAGCAAAAATCCGGACAAGCACGTCGCGGCGCACTAGCACACTGACCAAAGTTCAGTTTTATTTTGTATGCTAAATTGCATGCAATTGAGATAGAAATGTTGATGGGTTATGTCCACTATGTATTTGAAGTGTGCATAATTTACTTTTGCTGTGTTTTCTTTGATTGTCTTGTGAGTTAATTGATTTTATAAAGTAAGTTTTCGGCTGAAGCTTTTAAAAATGAAATTTAATTAAATGTGAATGATGTGAGATAATGGTAAGATCGTAATCTTCTCTTATATTAAGTGGATATATGAGAGGAGGTTATAGAAAGCACGAGATGTTATGGCCAAACTTGACTATATATATGGCCTTTTTTCTAAAGTTAATAAGTAGCCATGCATTATTATTTATTTAAGGAAACTAGAAGTTTTTGGAGAAAAAATTTCTTGATATTTTTGTGTTTTATTATAAAAAAAATATACTTAAATAACTTTCTCACACCCATTATTAATATAAATTTTTCATATTTAATAATGCAGTGAGAAATTATTCACAATAATAATTTCTCATAGGTATGTTTTTGAGAGAGATTCTCTTGACATATAAGTTGTGAGAAAATTTTATATTTACTTTATTTTATTATTTCAATTATTTATTTATTTTATTTGTAATAAAAAGAAAATATTCCTATTCTTAAAAATGTAGATAAAAAAATTTCTGGTTTGATCTTGAACAAAATCAATATTATTTGAATATTTTTTTAATTATTTAGTGATAAACTTTATATAAAATAAAAATATACACACTTAAATACTTTTTCCATAAAACTAATTTTTTAGTTAATTAATATTATTTAACAAAATTACTAAAAAAAGAAATATATACTTAAATAAATTTCTCACAATAATTTTCGATGAGAAATTCTCACTACTAATAAACTGTGAGAAACATTTAAAAGAATAGTTTCTTATAAGTTTAAATTTAAAAGAGGTTCTCTTGGTATATTATATGTGAAAAATACGTAAAATGAATAACTTGAAAACTTTTCTCATAGATAATGTGTTGAAAAAAGTTATCATCGTTAATTTGACTGTGAGAAATGTTTTTTCAAAAGACTTTCTCATGAAACCTATTTGAAGATAATTCTCACATTGTACAATCTTGTGAGAATTTCTCATAGATAAAAAGAATAGGAATTCTATCATTTAGAAATATTTCTTATGGGCACAAATTTTGTAAAAATTTCTTTTACATATATTTTTTATGAAAAGTTGTTTATATTATATTTTGATAACATTCCTTTTGTTTTATCACGATTGTCAATCATGAGAAAATTGTCACCAAATTGGCACCACAGCACTATAGTTTTTGTAAATTTTCTCATACAATTCTCGCAGATATTTCTTTCATATCATATCATAGTTGTGATAAAAAGGTGTGAGAAATTATGTATAAATTGATTTTATGTGAGAAAATCTGCAAGAAATTCTCATGTTTCAATGGCCATGAGAAATTTTCCTGAAAAAAAATTGCTTTCTTGTAGTGTAAATGGTCAAATATTATCCAACGACCACCATTTAAAATTATATAACCTGTTGGGCTGTTTGTTCTGAGAATTTAGTATTTGTTTATTTGGTTAATCAATTCAAAATCTTTGAGCTGCCACATCTTAGCAAGTCTGAGTAGGTTTAAGAGATCTTGGATGGAATTATATATAACCAAAATTCCCATCCACGGCAAGCATAGCTTTTTCCCTTCTTTAGAAATTTGCACCAATGGATATTGATTAATTTGTTTCATGGTTTTTTCAAAAGCTATATCCATTCCTTTTCAAAAGCATCATTAATGCAGTGTCATCATTAATGAGAGATTAATTCTTTGTAAGAAATTGGAGCTTTGCAAGTGAATCCCTTTGATTTCATTGCTACCTAAACCTACACCATCAAATCTAGCTTCTAGATTCGAACCATATTTATATATCCTCCTTAGCTATATATGAAGTCGTCCAGGACTTTCAAATCCAAAGATTTGATCCGCAATGAAGGTGTTGGCTTCCCCTCCATTTTCGCCACCTCCATGTACCTTTGCTATTGTCAAGCTCAGTAGATCTAAACGAAGGAAGGAGAACAACTGCCATTGAGCTCACCAATCAATGGTCATTGACCTCATTATTGATGGAGGCAGAAGACGACATTGCTAATCTTCTAATCCTCATTGTTCAACACTCAATTTATAAATGGAGATAGAGGAGAAGGCAGAGACAAGAAACAATGGATGAAGAAATATGAGATTAAATAGGGGAAGATAAGAGAGGAATGGGGTGGAGAGAGTTCGTGATATTGAACAATTCTATGTATAGAATTCGTATTGAGATTATATTTCTCATTATCTTATACTAAACATAAAAAGTTAATAATATCAAATCCGAATCTCCCAATCTTGCGTATCAAATTGGTCATGTGAATTATGGATTAAATTTTTTAACTAGTTAAGCCAATTTGTATTGGGTACTATGTATGTCATTGTTTCAACCACTAAGTTAGAAGAGGCGTGGCCGAAAAAACAAAATGTCCTTAGGCCCACATTCACAATTGCACACAAATCCAACGGATGAAAGGGGGGGGGGGGGGACACATTAAAGAGATTTGCATGTTACCCATTCAATTTGGCATCAGGTTTGGATTGTTTAAATTCATCATTCTAAAAATTCAAACGTCTGAATTTTAATTTAAATAGTTGAAATTGTGTGTGAGCATGTGTGCTTTTACATATTCTAGCTACTTTAAACACGTGCCGGATATTATTGATAGAAAAAAGAAAAAGTGCATGACATACGTTCAAATCAATCGTGGCTAATGTTATTGCGAATCAGAAATTTTATTATTTATAAATTATAAATTTTGAATACTAAATTTTATTTTTAACGTTGAAATGAATAAATTTTGGACGTATTTTTTAGTGTTCAAGATAAGTGAATTTTATATTATCTAAAAACTTATTTATTATTTTAAAATTTTATGAAAAGTAAATGTTATTTTACATTTAGCTTACAGTAATAAAAATACTTTTAACTTAAAATCTTCTTAAAATAATTAAGAAATTCAAAGTGGCAACATAGTCAAAAAATGTTTTTCAGATTTGAATTGTTTTAAAAATTCAAACAAATATCCTAAAATTTCTCAAAATTTATTTTTCATAATGAAATTCAAATATTAATCTGTATCCATAATCTGTCTATATAAATCTATAAAATTCTATCAAAGGTTCTAATTTCAATTTTCACGGTCACTCCTTTCCTAATTTGGTTTCCCTTTTTGCCCCCGCTACATAGAAAATGCATATTAATTCCTGATACTCGCCTAACGAGGGTTTTCTTTACACCCCCATCGGCCTCACGCCGTTCTCCTCTCTTCGCACTCTGGCAGAAGAGAGAGAAATATCCACGAGCTCCTTCGTCTCTCTCGTGTAAAGTAACTCCTTTTAATCTACATATCTCCTTCGGGTTCAGGTTCTGCGGTTGTTGCCTCTGAATCTCGTTCTGTGTTTCTCTTGGTCAATCTACGTCGAAGATTTTATCTTCAAGTGAAAGGTCCTGAGGTATGCAGCAAGGTGATCAAACGGTGATAAGCTTGAGGCCTGGTGGTGGTCGAGGCGGCGGCAGCGGAAGCAGGCTATTCGGTCCTCGATACGAGTCCTCGTCATCTGCATCTTCTCCTTTCCCTGCTTTCGGATCCTTTTCCTCTGATCTACAAGTCTTGCGGCCCCATGGCGGTGCTCCGTCACCATTCTCTATAAAGGCATAAATCGAATCTGACTTCCTACTCTGGATCTGAATTTTTCATCCCTTTTTTATTTCAAAATACTGGGCTTTTGATCAAGTTCTTTTTTTTTTAATCTGATTGATTGATTGCTTGTTATCGCTGTTGTTTTTTGCTGCTTCTGCTGATATATTCCTTCGAGCTTTAGTTGTAAGAAGCTTCAATGAATGGCATGTAAAGTGCGAAGCTTTGTCCCCACTTTATACATGCTTTATCGGTTTTTAATTGATAGATGTCATGGTTAGGTTTGGATCTCGTATCAATTTCATTGATTTTGATGCTCAAGTTTGTTTCTTTTGATTTTCTTTAATATTAATTTTTTGGTTATTATGAGAGCAAAATCATCTGCTGTAGTTGGAATTTGAAAATTAAGACTTGTATGCATTGCTATTTTGCATTATATACAGTGAAAGTAACTAGCTTTAATCCTATAATGTTAAATTATTTATTTGGAAACTCCTTCGAATGTGAAATCCTAATGAAAATCGGTCAGACAAAATAAGAAATAGAACTATAAAAAGTGAATTGAGGGAGATATTCCTGACAGTTACTGTGTTTTTAATTGTTATATTGGCGGCATGATTATAACTAATTTGAGACATGTAAGATAAAGAATTAACTTAGTTGAATGTCCTAATTCTTGGTGGGGCATTGAGTATGTGTACCTGCTGTAAATATGGACAAAAAATGACATGTGAACTTTAGGTGGGCTTGATTAAGTCATAGATTGCCCATAAAGGACTCACATACATTAAAACTCCTTTTATATTTGGTAATTTTGTTGGAGTTAGGTTATGGACTTGTCTTGTTTTATAGTATTCGTTTAACTAAAAATCAATTTTTTTATTTTTGTTGGCTAGTATCTATTATTCCTTCGTGAGTTTATCTGATTTTATGATGGAAATTCAACTGTTACTTATACTTAGAGATTTATATTCTTATTCTTCTGCTTTTGTAGGCTGGTGATTCACGGTTTGAGGGCCGTGAACGGGTGCGATACACCAAAGATCAACTGTTACAGCTTAGAGAGGTAACTGATATGTATCCTCGATCAATTATCCTTTCTTTGTTATTTAGGAATATCTTATCAGCATTCTTTCCTTGTATATATGGTTTTTCGTGTGCTCCTGGCATTAGATTCTCTTTTATGCCATTTAAATGGAAGATGTGAGGAATTTGTTTTTGAAGTCTGATTCATCAGAAAGCTATCTGTGATATTCTTGAAGTTTCTGAATAGTTGATCTGTATATTATAATGTTCATTTCTCCCCTCTGGTTGGGTTACTGCTAGAACAACTTAATGCACTATTGATTTGACTTCTGAATTTCTAATTGTATCTTAATGTTGTTTTCGCTACTCTCTAATAAAAATTCTGATTAGTGACCTCTCTCTCTCAGGCCGTTGAGGTCCCGGATGATATTATAAAAATCAAACAGGATATTGAAGCTGAACTTTTTGGCGAAGATCGAAGCTGGGTTCATGCAGAAAGCAATGTAAATTCTTTTTTTTTTTTGGCCTTTCTACATGACATCATTTATGATATTCAACAATAATGCCATCAATATGGTCAAATAGTCATCTTTTGCATTACTAAGTTGTTCAGCTGCTTTCTGATGTTTATTTTATCAAAAGGAACAATTGGTTTGTCTGAACATTTTAGGCATAACTCAGTTTGGTATATCAGTTGCTTGGTTGCTTAAGGACGATTCTTGTCTTTCAATTTTTGTACTTTCTCTTTTAATGAATGATTCTTTTATTGAACTTTTTTCTCGCATTTCTTTAGCCCCTGCATCAGTTCCAGAATCGTTATTCTGAGCCAGATGATCGTGACTGGCGTGGCCGGTCTGGACAACTTTCTCCTGCTGAAGAAAGATCTTGGGACGATATAAGGGAGAACAGAGAATTTGGTAATCGATATGACTCAAGACAGCCAGATGCCAACCAGATTAATCGCCAAGACCAACAGAGTTTGCAGTTTGCAAAGGTACAGATCCCCAAACCAAGGGGTGGCAAGCATTGGCAGGTTTCATGGTTGATTTCACATGTTATCTTCTATGTTCTGGACCCATTATCTATTTCTATTACTGTATGATGTTCATTTGTTGCTCTTGGTAATGCGCTTGGAATTCCTTAGTTCAAACTGGATGCCTGTTGATTGGTTATCATGATTTTCATGAATTATTGCAACTAGATGTGGGTTCCATTCATTACAAGGAATTTGAGGTCTGCACTACCCATGGTTTAGTAATTGAGTGGTTTTCTATAAATTTTATTTTATGCATGTAGATTTGTTGTTTTCTTGAAGCCTTGCCTCTATGTCTCGTACCTAATTATGACTTTTTTTAAACTTTATTAGCATTATTTGATGAATTAGTGAAGTTTTATTGTTACACGTAATAAAGCATAACATAAGATTGCACAGTTTTGGTTCATGTCTATTAACTCATATCTTTATATTTACATGTTCAGTTGTTTTTATCAAAATTATAATTTGTTTGTGTTAAATCAGGGAGGACCTGCTCCTGCTCTTGTGAAGGCTGATGTACCATGGTCAGCGAGAAGGGGAAGTCTCTCTGAGAAGGATCGTGTATTGAAGACTGTGAAAGGGTAATATATAATTGATAGATGAAAAACAGTTATTTAGTGAGGATTTTGACTGGTCCATGGTAGGTCTACTTGGTTGCCAATGTAGGCCCAAGTCATAACTCATTATTTTTATTAGAAAGGAGGTTTAAACCTTTCATATCTGGGTTGCCATGTGTGCCATAGTTCTGATTTTCTTTGAAAACAAAGTCTTGACTTTTATACCTGTATTATGATGGTTGAATGGCTGTCTTTTTGTGAAGCAATGCGTGCTGTCAAAAGTTTCAAACATGCTTAATGTGATTATAGGGTTTATGAATCTCATAGTTTGAAAAACAACTAGTCAATGAGGAAAAACATTCTTGTACTTATTTCCCCCTGTAAGGTTCTTTGTTTTCTTGACAAGTTCTTGGAGTTCCTATGCTTCCTGGCATGCTAAATGTTGTTAGTTGCAACAATGCAGGATTCTAAATAAGTTGACTCCGGAGAAATTTGATCTCTTGAAGGGTCAATTGATCGAATCTGGCATTACATCAGCTGACATCTTGAAGGTTTTTTCTTTGATGGCTGCGTTAAATATGTCCCTGTTCTTTAAAATGCTTCTTGATTGATTGACTTGCTTTGCTTTGCAAATACAGGGTGTCATTTCGCTTATATTTGATAAGGCTGTGCTTGAACCAACATTTTGCCCCATGTATGCTCTTCTGTGTTCTGATCTCAATGAAAAGTTGCCACCATTCCCTTCTGAAGAACCTGGTGGGAAAGAAATCACTTTTAGGAGAGTACTCCTAGATAACTGCCAGGAGGCCTTTGAAGGTGCAGATAAATTGAGGGAAGAAGTTAGGCAGATGACTGCCCCTGACCTGGAGATGGAGCGTCGTGACAAGGAAAGACTGGTCAAGCTTCGTACTCTGGGAAACATTCGATTAATTGGGGAGCTTTTAAAGCAGAAGATGATTACTGAAAAAATTGTCCATCACATTGTTCAGGTTTTTACTGAACTTAAGCGTTGCAGTTTTTACAATGTAACTTCTGTTAAATTATGGTGTGGGTTATCATCAAATTTTTTATTGGTTGAATGTTTCATGGAGCAGGAGCTTTTAGGACTAGCTGATAGCAAGGCTTGTCCTGTTGAGGAAAATGTTGAAGCTATATGCCAGTTTTTCAACACTATTGGCAAGCAGCTTGATGAAAGCCCAAAATCACGGCGTATAAATGATGCATACTTTAGCCGATTGAAGGAACTGAGTGCTAATCCTCAACTTGAACCACGGTTGAGGTTCATGATCCGTGATGTCCTAGATTTGCGTGCAAATAATTGGGTTCCAAGACGTGAAGAGGTATGCTTTTGAATTCATTTTTTTCCTGAAAAGAATAGTATGCCAATCTATATGATTGTTGCTCTTGATGAACTATTAATTAATGTTGTCTTGTGTAGGTAAAAGCCAAAACCATCACTGAAATTCATTCAGAGGCCGAAAAAAATCTGGGATTGCGCCCAGGTGCCACTGCAAACATTAGAAATACCCGAACCGTTCAAGGAAATACCACCCCTGGGGGATTCCCCATTGCTCGGCCTGGTGCTGGGGGTATGATGCCTGGAATGCCAGGGACCAGGAAGATGCCAAGGATGCCTGGAATTGATAATGACAATTGGGAGATTCCTAGGAGTCGTTCAATACCGAGAGGAGAGATGTCAGCTGGGCAACCATCTGCACGCGGCCAGTCTCCTTTACTTTCCAAGCCAGCAGCCCTGAGCTCAAAGTTGCTACCTCAAGGTAGTGCTGGTTTTATAAGTGGAAGAAGCAGTGCCCTAGTTCATGGAGGTAGTGGCGCTTCTCCCACAATCCCATCAAACTTTGGTTCAAATGCTGAGGCTCTACCTGTAAAAGTTGTTTCTGCCATGCCCTCTGAGAAGCCAGTGTCTCCAGCACCGAAAATGAAAACTGATGATCTTCAGCGTAAAACCCGGTCTCTTCTAGAAGAATATTTTAGTGTCAGGATTTTGGAAGAGGCATTGCAGTGTGTGGAGGAACTAAAATCTCCAGCTTTTCACCCTGAGGTTGTCAAGGAAGCCGTTTCTCTGGCACTAGATAAAAGCCCACCATGCGTTGAACCTGTTGCTAATCTTCTGGAGTATCTCCTCATTAAAAAGATTCTTACTGCAAGAGACGTAGGCACTGGGTTTTTGTCATTCGCTTCCATGCTCGATGACATTGGCATAGATTTACCAAAAGCTCCAAACAACTTCGGTGAGATAATTGGGAAACTAATTTTAGCTGGGGGACTGGATTTTAAGGTGGTGAAAGAGATTCTTAAGAAGGTGGAAGATGACCTGTTCCAGAAAGCTATATTTGATGCTGCAATACGGGTCATTGCTGCTTCATCTGGCCAAGCTGTTTTGGAGTCACAAGTATCTGATATTGAAGCCTGCAAAAGTCTGTTGAAGTGATTTCATGGCTGTGCATGAAGAATGTTGATTTCTACAGAACCGGGCAAGAACAACTTAGCTTCTGTTTAATTACTTGAAATACACCTTTCCTCTACCTCACCCTCACATTTGGGTGAAAGTGCATTTTGTATTACAATATATTATAGAAGTGGGGCTTTCAAGATCAGATATTTTTAGGGTTTGTATATTTTTGTGGGCTTAAGAGGTGTTTCTCTAGGGGAGAGTCAAAAAACCATCAAGCTACCGATTTTGATTTCCAGATGGCTAACCATGTGCCAAGCTTCTGTGAGAGTGGGCCCATTAGGGGTTCCAAATGTTTTTGCATTTCATTAGTTTCCATTAATTTTTTTGAATATTTTCTTGACAGATAATTGTTAAACTTTTAGTTCATAAATATTGTTATTTTCATCAGCATAGTTCAACTTCCTTTTTCGGCCAACGGAATTATACTGTGTTGAATATCCGAGCATGGTTTATGTGGGACAATTAATATTTCTAAGTATTAAGGCAGGTTTGGTAAAAAAAAAAAAAATATTAAGATAGGATTTCAAGTGTTAGAGGAGTTAAAGTATTTGTATATTTAACATAAATTTGCAGAAGAAATTTGTTCTCAACTTCACATGAGAATTTATTTTTACTCGTAGATGAAATTGAATGCAATAAGCTGAATTTGACGCTACGCTCTAATGTGGTGTTGCCTTTCATGGTTAAATTATGAATATTTTCTGGAACACTCCCCGATTTTCTGGCAGAGGAAGTATGTGATTTTTTTTTTTGATTTTATTCACAAAAATGTCTAGATTTTTGTGAGTTTTTTTTTACTCTTGATTAAATGTTGGAAAAAGAAACTATATTATTTAAGTATATATATTTAATAGGCTGGTAAAAAAAGTATATTTATTTAATAGGTTGTAAATATATATGTGTGTGTGCTTAATAGAAATAAATTTAAAAATTTATTTTTGATGTCTTCCAAAGTAAATTTTACTTCTAACTGCATGCAATTGATATAGTGTCAACTGTCAAGCGTAAGTATCGCTTTTACTTGTCTTCTCAGTCATCAACAGCAAATTCTGTCTTGTTATTCTTGTTCTCCCATTGTCAAAAAACTAATATTAAAAATACCTAAATTATCAAGTTTTTGATATCTATACATGATTATAAAAAAGATCGGTTGTTATGCTTACTTTAATTTTTCATTTGAATTGATAGCCACAGTAAATCAGTCATGTGAAAAATTAAAAAACTTCTACACCCTAGAGGTGAAAAGTAAAAAATAGTGATATAGAGAGAATCTTTAGACACATGATAAGTTAGCCAATCCGTGCATTTATAGTATAAAAGCATGGCTGAAAATAACATCTAATTTTGAATAACAAGATTTCTATTTTTCTTGATTTTGCGAAGGAGGGGATGATTCAAGGAAAGAAAATGAAATGCTATTGATGCGTGAGTTTGGTTTTTAATATGTTAAAAGTCCATTTACTCAGTTCAATAAAAGTTAATAGTTGTAATGAAATTTATATTTAAATATATTTTTTTAAAAGTCAGTTTAATAAACAAAAAGTTATTTAGATTATAATAATAACATATGCTTTTGAATATATAATTACTAAAAAAATATTAATTTATGATTATTTGTAATTTTTATTATATAAATATAATATATTTGAAATATTTAAAAAATGTTATAAAGATTTTAAACAATATAAAATTTGATTGATAATGCTAAAACCTTGATTTCTAATTATTTATACTTTTTATAATTTTAAAAAATATGATAAAGATTTGTAATTTTTATTATAAATTAATGCTAAAATTTAATATGATTAATTATTCAATTTATAATGGTAAAAACTTGATATCTAATTATTATTATTTAAATGTTAATTATATTTTTAATAAATTAACTATTTTTTAAATAAAATAATAAGAAATTAAACTTAGGATAACACAGCCAAATATTATCCCATTTTTTAAATCCACTTTTTACATGCTCTATCATTTTACATCCATCAAATTCACCTTGAATAATTTTTTCAAAGCACTTTTAGAATGCACTTCAGGGATTAATGGAAAAGTATCGTTGTAAAGATAAAGATCTACACATGGTTTTTATTGATTTGGAAAAAGCTTATGACCGTATACCAAGAGAAGTGCTTTGGAAAGCGTTGGAAAAAAAGGGAGTACGGATTGCTTATATTAAAGCCATACAAGATATGTATGAGGGGGTAAAAACTAGTATAAGAACGCCTAGTGGTCAAACAAAGGATTTTCCTATAAAGATTGGACTACATCAGGGATCATCTCTGAGTCCTTATTTGTTTAACTTGATTTTAAATGTTTTGACGGAACATATTCAAGAGGAAATCCCGAAATGTATGCTCTTCGCGGATGATATAGTTCTTATGGCAGAGACAAGAGAAGAGGTTAATTGCAAACTTGAGTTATGGAGGAGGACATTGGAGTCGAAAGGTTTTCGTCTGAGTAGAAGTAAGACGGAATATTTATATTGTAAATTTGGTAAAGGACTATTCGAAAATAATTTGGAAGTGAAATTGGGAGATCAAATTATACCTCAAGTGAAAAAGTTTAGATATTTGGGAGCCATTATTCAAAATGATGGCGAAATCAGTGGAGATATTTCACATAGAATTCAAGCTGGGTGGTTTAATTGGAGAAAAGCTAAAGGAGTTATTTGTGACCGTAAGGTGCCTAATAAACTTAAAGGAAAGTTTTATCGTACTGCTATCAGACCGGCAATGTTATATAGTAGTGAATGCTGGGCTCTAACGGGACAGCAAGAGCATAAAGTTGGAGTAGCAGAGATGAGAATGTTACGATGGATGTGCGGACATACACGTAAAGATAAAATTCGAAATGAGCACATACGCGAAAAAGTGAGGGTGGCACCTATTGAGGAAAAAATGGTAGAAAATCGGTTGAGATGGTTTGGGCATGTACAAAGAAGACCAAGGGAGGCACCAGTGAGAAGAGTGGAACATATAACTTTGAGTCCGATTAAGAGAGGTAGAGGAAGGCCTAAGAGAACACTCTTGGAAGTTGTTGAACGTGATCTCTTAATTAATAATATTTCTAAAAGCTTAATAAATGATAGAGCACAATGGCGTCTTGCAATCCATGTAGCCGACCCCACCTAGTGGGATAAAGGCTTGTTGTTGTTGTTGTTGTTGTTTACTTTTAGAATGCACTTCATTTTCTTATTTTTTTTTTTTACCAAACAACATCCCACATTCCAAATGTGAAAAAAAAAATACTTCCTAAAAGTTAAAAGTGAATTACCCAAACACACTCTGATGAGTGCTGAGAGGGTACTTTAATGGAATACCATAGAACATGATACAAATAATATCATGTGCTAGCTTGTCCATAAACAGGTGTAAACTTTGCAATCCTTTGTTTGAGATATATCTAAGGTATATAATATATTGCTTTGTCTAGAGCATTGATCGGTTAAAGATACTTATATTTGCTCATAACAAACCCAGAAAAAAAAAAATACAACAATTAATGTGGTGTATCCAGAAATATTTCATAATCTGTGAGAAAGGTGGGATGGAAATTACTGATTTAGGAATTATATTATCCTGCAATTTTATTAGTTATTGTCATGTCTGTTCCTTATTCAATAAATTTCAAACATTATTGTTAACATTTTTGTATATGTTAATTGCACTATAATTAAAGTTTATGTTTTTTATTGTATAAACAACTTTAAAAAAAAATTAAATTTAATACTTTAAAGGTATTACATGTGAGGAAATGCTAATAAATGCTAGTATCTCTTAAACTGAAGGATAAAAGTTCTCACAAAAAATTGAAGTGATGATGCATGTTGTTAATGCCTCTGAACTGAATGAAATAGTATTTTCTAAATGAATTGCTTTTATACCTTACTCATGAGACTCAAAATGTTGCTCCAAGACTGGATTATTTCCAACTCGTAATTACCAAAAAAATAAAAGTATCTTTATTCCATCTAGGCTTACTGTGAAGTTTAGTCTATCATATACTTGAAATGGAAAAAAAAAAATTAAAGTGAAATTAAAATTTTTTTTTAATCCAAAGTCATTAATTTCAAATTAAGATCTCATCACTATTTTTTTCTTAAAAAAATGTTCATTGATCCAAAAAAGGAAACATGATATGAGCACCAGTGACATCCTTTGTGGATCCATTGATCCAAGAGTTAAATTAATGTAGAACTCGTAATCCAATTTGTGTTTATTGTGGTCTCTAATCACTCTCTCACACGTACCTGCAAAAATTTGTATGCGAACTCAATACACCAAGTCATTTATGGTCTATTTAAAAAAAAAACATCTCATGTTAGCATCAATTTAATCAAATAAAATTTTGTGATAATTTTTAATGATTTTATTTTTTAAATTTCTTCTCTTGTATTTTTCCTCTTTCCATCATCATTAATAACAAAAAAGTTTTTATATTTATAATCATCTAACATATCATGTTTTTATTAAAAAAATCATGAATGTGGGGTGCACTGAATCCATACAAGAAGTTATCCAGGTGCACTAAATCCATACAAAAAGTTATCCATTTACTTAAGCCATCTTTGAAATGATATCCATCAACATCCTATATGTCTAATTGGATTTAGATTCGGTAATTGTACTTAATAATGCTTGTATCATCTAAATTATTAAAATTTAGATAAATAGTTATGAACTTATACTCTATTTGAGATTAATAAATAAATAAATTTATTTCAACTATTGATCTAAATTTCAATGGCTCAGATGATAGAGGTACTCAGTACCTGTATTAAGTATAGTTACCAAAATCCAAATCCTGTCTAACTTCACCTAATTTTCTGGTTTGAACAATTTTCCTTAATTACATCTACCATTCAGCCGCCAATATTGGATCAATCTGGCATGTTCATATTCACACTTTCATATTTCACTATTTTAAAAGTCATATTAATTTTCTTATCAGTTATTCTACCCACTTTTTTTTTTGGCCATTAACAAGATGTACTAGAAAAGAATGAAGGATAGTATGCCACCAAAAATTTGGTAGAGCACTTAAAAAAGAAAGAAAAAGAGTGAGATCTGTCAACGGGCTTCTGAACTAATAGCACAATGAATTAATCACCCTTGCTGGTGCTAGATCCGAATCATGTGCAGTGAGTTTTTGTACAGTGGTTGGATAAATTTAAATTTTTTTTAAAAAGACTTCTTATTTGCAAAGTACACAATCTTGTTTATCCAAATTTAAATTTTTTATTTTATATTTATTAAAATAAAATTTTTTAAATTTTTTAGTCATCATTTTGAATAGTATAGATTTTATTTAGATGGTCAAATTGACTATTTTAAAAAAAAAATAATTGATTATCTAGATATATTCCTGGAAGTTCAGATATA